GGGCCACACAGTTCTTCCACACATGTGGCCTTCTTACGCTGGCCAATCAGATTTAACTGCAATCGGCTGGCGGAATTCATTGTTACAGGGTCGGAGTGGTCAGTTACATTTTAACGCCTGTGGTGTATACATATACAGTACATATACAGGCAGACTTTACTGGCAGATCACCTGTACTATGGATGATAGTGTTTTGGAGGACTCGGTTGCTTGGTTGGACAGAGTATAGTTTGTCATTGAGGATTTTGAAATTGCGGTTTTGATAAAATTTATTTATTTCCAGTGTTTCCCACAAATTAACCTTCCTTCTTTATTGCACGTGTGGAGAATTTTCGTGTTCTCTTTATTTATTGTATGGTTTGTTTCTTCTATACATAAATGACATAAAGCATTACAATGAATGTGACTATATACACTTGTTCGCAGATGACACGTTAATATCAGTAACTGATAGAGATTTGAATAATGCCGTACAAAAGATGAATAATTCTTTAAATAGAATAACAGAATACCTCAAAATGAATAAATTGAAACTGAATGTAGACAAAACAAAGGGGATGATAATTGCCACACCATTTAAATACAGACAATTTGATATAAATGAAATTCACATCAAAATAGAAAATAATACAATTGAATTAGTTCAAGAGTTTAAATATTTAGGGTTTATGCTTGACAACCACTTAACGTTGAATGGTCATTTCAATTATATTCAGAAAAAAATACTCAAAAAACTATATTTTTTTTCGAGGGTATCTCAGCATTTGAGTATGAGCTCAAGAATTACCGTATATAATACAATTATCAAACCTCACTTCGAATATTGCCCGACCTTATTGTATGGTTTTGACCTCAATAAAATGAGATCACTACAAAAACTTCAAAATCGTGCAATGAGAATCACTTTGAGATGTAACAGATATACACCAATATCATTGATGTTGGGAACATTACAATGGCTGTCAATAGAAAATAGACTTATTTATTTAACTATGAGTTATATCTTCAAAATGTTGCATAATCTTCTTCCATCATATTTTCACAAATATATAACTATAAATACNTGGCTACCTGCCCTTTCAGGTCAGCTAATCCAATTAAGAAAAACTTAGCCACGCTCACTGATAATAATATAAAACCAGATTGAAATACCAGCACCGTAGTTAATGTGGTCTAAACGAAGGAAACAATTCGGGCACTGCGAACGTTACCACATCGCCTTTAATAATGCCTACCGCAGTAATAGACGAAACAACGTCAGGCATAAAAACCTGCAGGCCACCAAAAAACCCCGGAAAATTGCTTTCACAGTTATCTCCGGCGGTGAAAGTTTACTTTCTTCGATTTTTGTTATTTTTTTTCCCATTTATTTCCTTCACCAATCCCTTTCTCTCTTAGAGCTTCTCCTGCTTTAATCAATTCCATTTACTATACGTTTTCTGTTATGTGAGAAATGATCTTTTGAAAAATTTACCTTGTTTAATTTATCAATTGCTAACGCCTTGTAGATTGTAATTTCATAATGTAAATTTTGACCTTCATTAGAATTTAATGACACTCCTTGATAATGTTATAAAAAGTTTAATAATAACAAAAATTTATCAACGTATCTAAGGCTCATTATATAACATTGTTTACCCACTTCAATAAAAACAATGATTTTACAAGTTTATAAAGTAAACGCTGTAAATAATACACCAAAATGATTTTCATGTACTTTTTGCTTGTGAGTGAGGACACATTCGAAATGAAATGCTATTGATGCCATTTTGATAATCATTGTTTTTCTTCTGATAAATTATATCTCGAGATTGTATAATTTTTTTATGCTGACTAAATTTGTATAAACAATATTCGCGGAATGAAGTGGTTTTAATACCATTTTTCAGTGCCTTAGAAGTTGTGGAATGGGACAGAGTAATGTGAGTCCAACAGTCTTATTACCTAGGTGTTATTTTTGTTTTTTTTTTGTCAATTTTGAGTAATATTCATGCATTCTTATGGGCCTGGTGGAGGCCAATTTGTTCTCTTCTTTTATAACGTGGGCCACACAGTTCTTCCACACATCACTATTAACTACTTCATTCACCACTCGCCTTATATTGTCAAGCACTTCAGCATTCAAAGTCGGTGACTGATTACATTTCCGCAAGCTTTAAAGCATGCATGCCTTAAAGCAAAGAATGTCTTGTTTAATTAGTTTCAGACATCTTTTATTTGCAGATCCCATGATAAGCTTTCATCCAAGTAAGTTCCTAAAAATTTTACTTCGCTACTAATCTTTATTTCATCAATAGTTTGTGGGTCATCTGAAACATTATTTTTCCTATTATAGAAATTTACTATTAGTTTTTGTGGAGTTTAATATTAATCTGTTTCGCTGACACCAGGATCTAAAACTATCGATTATGCATTTTACCTTACTAAGCAGTACATCAATATTTCCCCCTGTAACTGTGATAGTGGTATCATCCACAAACATGGTAAGGTGGCAATCTTTCAGATATTCTGACAAATCATTTGCATACAACAAAAAAAGCAATGGTCCAAGCACTGACATCAGCGTACATAGTTATGTGACAATCTGATATGAATTCAGGCAAGTCATTGATAAAAGTCAAAAATAACAATGGACCGAGAACAGATCCTTGTGAAACACCTAGTTTCACATTAGATGGAACTGATATAATTCCATTACATTTAACTGCCAAACTACGGTTTTCCACTTACGATTCTATCCAACACAACACGTTGGGAAAGCCCACTACTAGTGATTTTTTCAGTAAAAATTTGGAAGAAACAGTATCGAATGCTTTTGATAGGTCTAAAAAAAGTGAAAAAACCAGATTATTATTATCCACTTGTGCATAAATATAGTTCAATAGTTGGTAAGATGCAGATTCAATTGATTTACTCTTCCTGAAACCATGTTGATTACTGCAGAATAGGTCATTTTGTTCAATATACATCAAAATTCTATTACCTATTATTTTCTCAAAGAGTTTTGAAAAAGAGGAAATCAACGAAATCTGCCTATAATTGTCAATTTCTGTTATCCGACCTTTTAAGAGTACAAAATTCTCTATTGATCAGTATATAGCACGATACAGTAGAATAAATATTTATTGAGATATAGAGCTACTAAAAGGTAGGTAGGTAATATGCTTTAATAAATTTACGTATTAATAATTAACTGAATAATTCGATATCCGTAGTGAGAAGTAGTTGTTTAAGTTGGACTAATAATTGATAAATTTTTTTCTTGAGAATTTTCACGTTGGATGGCCAAAACGTCAAAAACCTCAAAGAACATAAATGTATTTATTTAAAAAATGCAACTGTCTGGCTCCAGTTGTGATAATGTTTCGAATGTTCCTATGAATTGCAGTTAAAGTTGGCATATATAATTTTGCCATTATTCGCTGTTTCGAAGCGTTATCTGGCATAATCAGCTGATTATTCTCACAAGTTCGTAAATCTCACGAAATTCATAATTACCCAACTGAAGGTGAAACCAATCAAGCTTACCGACACTTTATAATACTGAACTGGATATTAAATACTTACAAAAAGTGTTTCAATTTGAATGGATCTTGTTCATTTTATAGAAAAAACTAAGGTAAATTTTCATTTTCTCAAAAAACTATTTATTTAATATTTATTTATTCATCAATTTCTATCTTGTCCCAGTCAAATATATTACACTTGTGTAATATGATATATCCTTGAGCTCTCTCAGCCATTCGGTTTTTATCTCATCAATCGTCGCAAAACGCCACAGGGGAAAAAGTCGCCGGGGGGCAAATCTGGTGAATACGGTGGCTGAGGTATGATTACGGTGTCTTGCTCGAAGTAATGCTGCCACCCATTTTTTGTCGAACTTTTCTATCATAAAAACAATTTGATGTTTTATTAAGTCGCCTCCTGCCCGGGAGACCTTTTGGTTTTTTCCACATATACAGCCCCCTTTACGTGGTTATCCGAACCACGTAAAGGGGCCCCTTATTCTTTACTTTTTAAGAAACTCTCACACATTTCAATAATTACCACAACGGACTAACACAACACAAAACGGAGACCCACGATAGCACATGGCATCTGCGTACCTTGCTTGTTGGTTGACGTTATGAGCACACCTGTACACTATCACAGCCACCACGAAACTCTAGATACTACTCCAACGCAAACAGGTAACCAAAATAAAAGATTCAGTGTCATCATCTCGCGATGTCATTTTCGGGGTGCCTCAGGGGAGTGTGTTGGGACCTATATTATTTTTAATCTACCTGAATGATATAGATACTATCCATGGTTGTGATTTCATGAACCTTTTTGCAGACGACAGTTTGTTATCAATTTCAGGAGATAATATAGAAACACTAGCTGATCAAATGAATAATGAACTAAGAAATGTTTTCAAGTACATGAATAGCAATAAATCAACACCTCAAAAACAAAATATATGATCTTATCAACTGGTTATAAGCTATCAGTCATCAACAATCTCAACATGAGATTACAAATTGCAGATGATGTAAGTGAATTCAAATACTTAGGTTTCATGATGGATAATCGTTTATCTTTTCATGCTCATTTTGATTATATATAGAAAAATTTATAAAAAATATATTTTTTCTTAAGAATTTCATCTCAGCTTTCGATGTACTCAAAAATTACATTATATAATTGTATAATCCAACCCCATTTTGATTATTGTGCTAGTCTGTTATACTCATTTGACCAAAATAAGGTATCGGCTTTACAAAAGTTACAGAATCGTGGAATGAGGATTATTTTACAAGTGAATAGATATTCAAGTATATCAAACATGTTGAGTACATTGCAATGGCTGTCTGTTTCCCAGAGACTGTACGAGTTAGCAATGATATTCATTTTCAAACTAACACATAACTTGCTTCCAACTTATTTTGAAGAATTCTGTATATATAAATCTCAAATCATTAACCACTTAACAAGAGCGACTAGCTCCCAAAAATTCCACCTTCCTCGAACTAATTTGACTAGTAACAGTCCACGTATGTTGCTAGCCTTCAATAAAGTATGTTTCTTCTGTATATATTGTTGTATTTTCAGTTAATGACATTAGCAACTCATTAATCAACGTGCAGTTTTTCGATTGTGCTCATCTTTTTGTTTGTTTCAGCAAAAGAAGGCGGCTTTTATGGTACCCTGTCTGATCCTGGTGATCCTATCTCTGAGTGTTTCCATCGTAACGGTCAGAGATCTAGAATGGGAAGACCACATATCCATAAGGTATGGACTCGTTCTGTTCGTCAGCGGTCTAGTATTCTTCCCTTCGCTCTACCTAGCCCTGAACGCTCTTTTCTTACACACAAACAACGGTCGGAAGATCGTCAGGACTTACAAGCTCAGCCACAGCGACGTTTATGACATCAGTAATAAGTGAGTTGAGAAAATTAAATATAAAGAATACGCTAATCGCCTGCTTTTTCGATAGACAGGTATCGGCGGTGCAGGCCTTGTTCTGCTGCATAACAGGGTTGACTTCTGTGTGCTACTCATGCTCACGGAACATTCTCAGGACTTCACATTATATCTCGGAGGCCTACGCATGGTTCGGAGCGGCCTATTTCTTCTATGACATCTGGTCCATGTACAAAGTATACAGCTCCAAAGTAAGCAAGTAACTATTTAAGAGATTGAATGCTTTATTCAACTGTTGCAAATTTTTTCCCATAGATGGTGCCCTAGTAAACTTGGAAATGATGTTTTGTACCAATAGATGGCACTCTGTTCAATTTATAACTACGGTTTTTCTAGTACAGTGCTGATTTAAACAGTACCTTTTTTTTTGAGTCAACGGCATCAACTATTTTGATCATTCGCCTCGGGTTCTGGATAGGCAATTTTAATAACTTTTCGAGCCGCTTTAGAAGCATCATGGCTATTTGCAGTCCACCTGCCATGTGACGTTGCAGAATCATCCCAACTTCAACTGGGAATTGAACTCACGACCTTTCTTAACTTTTGAATGGAAAAGACATCAAGGTCGGACAAAATTTACGTAAAAAAAGATAATTTTTAGTACTTTTTAATAAGAATGACATTAGTGTTATGTTACTCGTCGCAGAGATGGCGTTACCATTTTTATTGAGTAAAGATGCAGAAATATAACATGATGTGCAATTTCAGTCAGTTTTAGGTACTGTAACAATATATTATTTTTTTTGGTGACATTTCAGGTAACGTCTGCGCAGATGAACGGAGATGCCAAAAGAATCAACAGGTTCCTTTGTGGATTGTTCAAGATTCTAGATTATCTCAAGAATAATTCTGTCATTGTCGGACATCACATTTTCATTGGATGTTTTGGGTTTTTGGTCATCACTGTGAGTATTTTGGTGCAATACTTGGGCAATATGTTGTGTGTTGAGAACTATCACATTTTAAAATTATATACAGGTGTTTTCCTTTGAAATATTCATTTTCGTTCAGTATGAATTGGCTAACGGTCCTCTGAAGGAGATTGAAATAATAAAAAATTCAAAAAGGAAAAACTCTTCAAAAAAGATATCGATCTCCGTCCGGTGGCTTTCTCTTACTGAAATGATGTACCATTCAATTTCAAGGTCAGACTTTAATTTTTTTTTTTACATTTTAGTCATAAATCTGAAAAATTTGTCGAGATACGATTTTTTTTTCAAAAATAGAGGGGATAACAAAAAAGTGAGTAATTGCACCTTGAAAAATATTGAGCTACACATTTTTTAAAATACAGTTTTTTGAAATTTCAAGAAATTCTACAGACGTTTGTTTGCAATATTGGGAACTGAAATTCGAAAATTTGGAGTTCTCTTTCTACCTACTAATAGAAAAAATTGGGGTTATGCAGCAGCGACCTAAGAAAAATATTGATTTTCAAATGAACAATATTACATTTTTGGGAATGAAAGGTTTTGGCTTTCTACTTTTCCATTTTTATACAAAATGAACCCTTTACAAAGATGTATAGATCATACAAAGAAGTAACTTTCAAACACAAACTGGAAGAAAATGCTCCTCGAAACACTTACTTTCATATAAACATTGAATTACCTGAAAGAAGAAAAAAAAACGTTTGAAACAAATACTTTTATATGAACATTGCTTTGTAAACCAAACATTCGTTATGGAATTGAATCAGATACCACTCGCAGGATTGTTACACAATATAGTATATAAAAGAGGTAAAATTTTACTTACATGGAACACTGTCATCGTCACTGGCGGACATCTGATGTTTCGGAGTCAGACTCTTGTCTTAGTGTTTCACCAGCACCGTTCCAGTAGCGGATTTAGCCACTAGACGTGGAGGGCACCCTCTCCTTGTACGCAGAGAATGTTTGATTATGGTGTCAAAAAAGTTAGTCCTACATCCTTGCCCATTACCAAACCGCAATCGATAACCAGATTCCTCCATGAGTCCTCTTACTTATTTAAATAAAAGAACTATCACTGATAAAATTTTCACACTAATTATTACATTCAAATTAGGAATGTCCTGTGAAGAAAAAGGTCGGTTTGAGAAAAAACTCGCATCTTGGCAAATTTTCACGATTTATAAGAGAAATAGAAAAAAAATTAATGTTTGACCTTGAAATTGAAGTTCAATGGGTCAGAGTCACAAGTCTTATAGTTTTCCCGTATTGTACATCATTTCATTTGGTGAAAATGCCGATGTACCGAGATTGATCTCTTTTTAGATCAGGAGATTTAAGCGGCTCCTTCATGATTTGTTCTCTATTATCAATTATATTTATCAGCTGATAAATTATTATTATTATAGTATCTTCGAGGTGGCTTAGGCGACTGTTTCTACGGCTTCATCTACTTGATGGAAGCGAGCACTCCTTTCGTATCACTCCGAGGCATTTTATCCAAGATTGGACTGAAGGATTCTCCCCTCTACGTCATAAACGGTCTCATGATGCTGGCTGTGTTTTTCCTGTGCAGAATTGCAATGTTCCCCTACGTCATATACATGTACGCCACATCTATTCAAGTAGACTTTATATCGGTGAGTTTTTATCCATGTTTCATCAAATAATTTATTCAAAGGGCTGACTTTGAGTGAAATGCACTGTATACTTTGACTCTGGCATACGCTGTCTGTTCAACTAACATTGTATCTGTCACGGTTACATTATTATTATTATTTTCCAGGCAATATATACCCTCCCCAGAGGTTGCTTGATCAGCATATCCATTTTGTTGTTACCGCAACTGTACTGGTTCTACCTGATGGTGATGGGAGCTACTAAAGTCCTAAGGAACGTTGCCTCAAACAACAACACCCTCAAAAACTCGAAGACTAAATAACCGCCTGGCGGTGCGCCATCGACTGTTTTTTTTCAATAGAAAGATCTCGCGCGATTCGGGTCGATGATAGTGTTCTAGAAAATATATTTTTATGTGCATCCAAATATTACTGAACCGAACCCGAATCGTCCGATGGTTGTTGAGATTCTAGAGAAAAGGAGGCTGATGAAGTCACCGGGTTAAGGCCGAAGGGTTGTTTTCGATGACTGTATTGTATTTATTTATTTTTACGAAGTATAATCCAACAAAAAGGCTTTAGGTGTTCAATGTAAATTAAGGGATGTATTTTTGTAGTGTCCAGCATGTGATTATGGTTTGCAGATTCTCGGTTTCGAATATGGTTGTGATAATGTATTTATATACGTTTGATTCGAGTAGGCTTCCAGGAACTTTAAATTGGCTAAGAATTCACTTTCATAAATTAACCCCTTTGAAACAAAAAACTGGCCAATGATCCTATCATTTCAGATTATTTGGAATCTGAAAAAGAGAAGAAGATATGATAATGAGTACCAACTTGAAACTTGAGTTTCTTTATTTCTGCCATCAAAGATGTAAGACAGTTAAGGAAAGTTTGCAGCTGTTCCTAGAAAACTAGTCGTATTTGTGGTCTGTATGATTTTTGGATAAACATTTTGCATCAGTGTGATCCGATATATGTGCACTTTGTTGTACTGTATACATGGATTATTTATTGTTGCCTAGTTTTGTTTTAGTTCTATATGTGGGAGTAACGTGAATAAAATGTAATAAATGTTTTCTTTGGAAGTTTTAATATTGCGGTGCCTCGAATAGACGTTTCTAATGTATAATATTTTAAAATCCCCTTTAAGACTGCATAATTTTGAAAATTTTGTAACCTTGAATTCTTTGGGAAACAAAGGTTTCTGCTTTACTTCTCCGTCTTTATCTAAATGTGGGAATCTTCTACGCAAAGAAGTAAATTTCAGACACAAACCGGAGAAAAAAGTCCTCTTGAAAAAACCTCTTTCATATAAACATTGAATTTCACGAAATACTTACCCCATTGGCAGGAAAATCTATGATGAAAACTGCTTAAGAAATTTATATTTCGCAGAAATTCAGTCAACATTAATGTATGCGGAGCAATGATACCAACTCCTCTACTTGATTTTTAGTTTGCTAAGTTTTTTGTGTTGGTATTATTCAGATATTTCGTTTCTAACTTCAGTTGTCACATATATTCAGAAGTGTTTGTGCTATCCAATATTTATGCTTGCTACAAAAATATTTGAGTATGTAACACAGTCAATCAACTTTATTTTACTTTACAAAAAATTCAAAAAATGCTATAATGTAGTCAGCAAACAGATCCACCTGCAAAACTTTATTATTATATGAAATGAATATCCTACTAGAAGCAGTATGTTATTTTTTCAAAACAAGAAACACACTTCTGAAATATGATGTACATTCGTATCAAACTAGATCTAACAACTTGATCTATCGTAGGCTTATCTTCATCTGGTATGAAAAGGGCTGATCTCCAGTTACAAAAGCATTAAGCTACCAGGATACATAAAAATGGGACTAAACTTTCCAGATTCTGAAGTTCCATGAAAAATTTGTAAAATGTAAATCCATCACAGTAATATTTTTTAGTGTGTTTATTACTGACATGAGAAACTGATGAATAGGTAAAATAAATTACTTTCACTCACGGGAAGCACAAGACCAAAACATTATATAAAACGGCTGACAGGACTTTTCGTTTTACCATTTGGCTTAGTTTAAAAATGTCCGGTAGAAGCCGCGTCTGGACGAAGAACTTTCGATTGAATTCAACATGTATGTTATATAAAATAAATCAGAAAAACTCAAATATGATATATATGTTACCCCCAAGTCATCGAGAACTTCATAGTCCACATACAACATCTACCAGCCATATTGAACCTAAGTCAGATGGTAAAACAAAGTCCAGTCAGTTTTCATATATTGTTGTGGTTTTACGTGCTTTCAGTGAGTGAAAGTAATTTATTCCAACTGTTCATCAATTTTTCATGTCTCTAATGGAAGCACTAACTGAAAACTTATGATGCACTGTTTGGAACCTTTGGTGTAGTAATGAATATTACTGGATTTTTTTCCCAACACCAAATCGTTATTTTTAACACCTCGACACGTGTTTCGATCACCAAGTGATCATCTTCAAAGAGGAAGATTAAATATTACTGGATTAAATATTATTGGAGTTTTTTCCCAACACCAAATCGTTATTTTTAACACCTCGACACGTGTTTCGATCACCAAGTGATCATCTTCAAAGAGGAAGATTAAACTGTCTGTTTAAGAATAACGATTTGGTATTGGAAAAAAACTCCAGTAATATTCACTAACTAAAAACATTACTTTTACAAAACAAAATGATAACCTATGTTTAATATTCAGTTTTTCTAATCAGTCATCATCGATAAAAATTCTTACTGAAAATTGCTGGGAATTGCAAATGAAACTTTTACTTCTTTCTAATACAGAATTGAAAATGACAAATTTTTGAACCTGTCAAAAAACAACCATATAGCAATATCTCATTACTTTCCTCGGTTGTAGTTTTTCACAAAGAGGACCTGCTGGTTGTCGGAATTGAAATATCCGGTGTTTTTCAGTGAGAATTGTTATTGTTGATCAGAAGTAGTAATGAGATAATTCAAATTGAAGATTTTCCATGCAAAAAATATTTTTTTTGTCAGAGCTGTTTTCTAATATTTCATTGAGCAATTGAAAAATCGCTCATCAGTAATCGGTAGAAAGAAGTTATAAGAATTTTTTAATATCATTGTTTCAACTGATTATGACTGAAGGTCAAGTTTTTCATGAATGTCCATAAGATGACCATGGGTAGCGCTAGTGTTTGCAAATTTAAGGTCAAATCGAGTTTATTACAGGCAACTTTCACATTTATTTTGAAGAAATGAAAACGATCTGAGAAATTCCTTTCAATATTTCACATTTCCAACGAACAAATCAATTATTCATTAAATATCTACTAACGCGCTTTATTGATTCATTTCATCTGGAAAGTATTATTTACCAAAATAAATTACTGTCTGAAATAAAATTGATACAAATATGTATCTACTTATGAATGCAGATACCTTTGCTATTATTGAGGAAAATCTTCCAAAAAATATTTATTTCAAATGATTTCATCATATTCTGGAACAGTCACTGAATACACTCTACCAAACTATCACCTTCCTGCTCCTTCAATTCACTGTTTAGAGAATTATTATTCTCATTTGAAAAAATTGTAGACAGTTTAGCGATGGATCCTACAGCCCTGAATCGAGTTTGAGCTCTCCTTTTATCCACTTTTTTCTTCCACTGAAAAAAATTCAAATAAAATATATCAGGTTGAAACCCCAGTAATTTCATCAGTAAATGATAAGATGCAGAAACTTTTCAGTTATAACCTTCAAATCTCAACTATCAAAAAACTTTTTCAACTTTTTACTCCAATTTCTTTTCTCAAAAGTTTGGCCGACATCCGAAACAGTTGAGGCCAAAAATCTGACACTGACAGCTTTGCTAACTTCACTGTCATCCTCGACAAAGAAGAATGAGAATTTAATTCACGGTAACTTCACTTTTAATTCATTTCGTTTAATAACAAACTGCAATCGAAATAGTGAAAATAATTGAATAAAAATGTTCCCGAAAGTGTTCATTGAAATGAAGCTTTGATGGCAAGTAAGTAAGTACCGATATGACCTCTCAATTGTTCCCAGATATCAAATTTATAACCTTGTTTAGTTGTCATCGATTGCTAGTTCAGATTTTAAGACTGTTTCACGCAAAATATGCCCTAGAAAACATTATAAAGGAGTACCGGGAAGAGAAATTGCAAAAGCTTTTTGCGATTGTGACAGTTGTCAGAGAACCTTATCTACACAAAATCAACAACTTTAATTAAACTTTGTCTTGCCTCTTCATCCCTGGAAGGCATCTCCGACAAGTATTGATTCATGTTGTCTTTTGAGGTATCCACTATAGCCAGTACTGATACACATCCATCCACCGTGCCCAGTACTAGAGCTTTTCCGTCTGGTGTGCTTTCAACTGCTGTCAGTTCCGCTTGTACTCTGTAATTTGCCACCATCTCCGCATCAGTAGTTCTAAACGAAAAAGATTAGATCGAGAGCTTGGACTTTTGTGTGTAGAACCCACCTAAACACTCTCAAGGTCTTCCTTCCGCTATGGTAGTAGAGAACGTACTCGTCAGTTGTGTTGAAGAGACATATTATTGAAAACACTCCTTCGGCTACTTTCGGAATGAACGTTCTGACAGTTTGGCCTTTCTTGAGCTCTATCAGTTCCAAACCGCCTCTTAATTATGAAAAATATTTAATTAAAAAAGTGGGGAAAAATACAAACTAGGTTGATCTGTTATAGATTCTTACCTTGAAGGAGCATACAGACCATACTTTCCATCTTTGGTGATGCTGCCTCCCCACTTTGGTATGCTACGAATGTGTTTTTTTGTTCTGATGTCAAAGACTGCTCCTTTGTCCGTCGTCAATACCGCAATGAGGTGCCCTTTGTGTGGCATCGCCACTAGACCTGCAATATCCTGTCCCAAATACATATCAAACATAATTGATTTCAGAACACATCCTAAACAAATAATGACATACCCTGCATTTATATTTTAAAAGCAATACCTACTTCAATATATTTTTTATAATTTATAAGTAATTTTTCTGTATCTGTGCTGTATTGACCTGTGTAAAAGCTTAATGTGTATTTTAACACCAATAAAATATTCTATTCATTCATTTGATAAAAAATAAGTTGGCACAACAAGCCACTAACCTTGACGACACTGCTTTTAAAGGGAATACGATGAACCAGATTTCCGTTCTGTGCGTTATATACAATAATGCAGTCCTTATTGTTCTTATCAGCAGCTGCTATCACAAGATGCAGGTCGTCTGAAGTGACCACAGCGGGCCTGAAGGGTACTCCCGTTATGCTACGTACAGGATACTCGAAACTGTATACCATTTCACCGCCTGCTCAGGGAATTATTTGTTTCTGTTATGGTCTCGAAAATAAATATGATTCTACTTACTCGGAATCTCTCGTACGCATACTGTGGCCACTGTTCTAACGAAATCCGTTCCTGGGGGGTTGCTAGGCTTGGAAATCGATAGGATTTTCGTGCCTTTGTCCATGAGAGACAGTTGCCTGATGCCTGGCTGTTCGTCTTTGAAAATCACCGTTTGAGTCAAGCGTAGCCATATCAGTATGTTGCCCGTTTCTGCAGAGATGATATATCTGGAAACATATACATTAGTTAATATATCGACAACGGTGATAGTGTTTAATTCTTCGTACGAGAAACCAATCAAAGTAAATATTTTTCTTTTATGTTACTAACTTTCCGTCCGGTGTTATTATGGCATGTGTCACGATGGCTCCCAGCGGGCTGTCTGCCAATTTAGCCACCAGCTTCCCTATTCGTAGATCCCACACTCCCACACAGTTCCTCGTAGCCGTTACTGCCAGGCTGAGGTTGTCAGAGAGGCTGAAATCCATGAATTTAAATAATATATTTTATGTTGTTTGTTATTTTTGCTTACCTTATCGAATCTACTTGCAATTCGTGCCTGTCGATGACGTGGACCGTCTCGAAAATGTTGTTGATGTTCCAAACCTTGGCTGTCCGATCTATCGAAGAAGTCACTATGCTGTTCCAGTTACCCACCGTTAGTGCTTCCAACTGAATGATTCGACCGAAGTGGGCGTCCAAGACTTTCACTAGCTTTCTGGTCTGGATGATCCAGACGTACAAGTTCTTTCTACAAAAACGATGTAATACTCGGTCTAAGATCACTTGTGATTCGATGAAAATTAAATACTATTATTATTACATGTACTACTCTATTAAAAAAATAAGGTAAACTCGTTTTTCTCAAAAAATATTTATTTATTCATCAATTTCTTTTTTCTCCTCTTCAGAATAGCCCCCCTTAGATATAATACACTTATGCTAGCCCTTTTCCAATCCTCGAAGCGGTTCTTATATGCTCTTTTTGGAATGTTCTTGAGCTCTCATGGCGATTTGGTTTTTAATTCTTCAATCGTCGCAAAAAGCCGCCCTTTCATGGGTCTCTTCAGTCTTGGAAACAGAAAAAAGTCGCGGGGGGGCAAATCTGGTGAATATGGTGGCTGAGGCATGATTACAGAGTTGTTTTTGGTTAAAAAATTATGAACAAGCAATGACGAGTGAGTAGATGCATTATTGTGATACAAAAGCCATGAATTGTTCTCTACAATACCGGACGTTTTCTTCGTATTGCTTCTCGCAAGCGGCGTATATAATTTCAAGATAATACTTACTTCTTATTCACCGTAATAAAACTGATGATGTAATAAAAACTCCCAATGCACTTCGACAGGGTAATCAAATAAAACAGTGAGCAAAACCTTGACATGTGATCGAACTTTGCGAGCTTTTTCTGGTCTTGGCTTTTCCATTGGGACGATTGAACTTTGGTTTCAATGTCATAACCAGATATGCATGATTCGTCATGAAACTATGAAACTATTCATAGTTATTCATAGTATACATTAGTTTATAAATTAAAATGAATACGAGTAATGATTGTCCAAAACACATAAAAATTTGAAGTACAAAAGCAAAAATCAATTTAAAAAAAAACTAATTAATACAGTTTATTGTATGATTTACACTATAAAGGTTTTTACAAACACCGCGATACGTGTTTCAGTATATAAAGTTTTTCGATATGGATTTTCATCAAGTATTGGCCAGTTCTACTCAATTAGCAAAAATAAATAATAATAATATTTATTTTTATGGTTGAAAAGTACAGTTGACAGAAATCAATGCACAATAAACAAAGAAAATGTCAATTATAAAAGTAAATGTAAAAACATATAAATGAAATAACTACATGTAACCATATTATAAGTGGTAAACATCCCTAAGTAATTAAAGTAGCATATAAATATAAATATATAAATGTAACTAGTTATAGACTATAAAAAAGCCAATAAAATATAATCAACACACAATTTTTCAAGTAGTAAATACTTCAACCAAATGTGCTAAAGCTCAAGATCTCCGGTTACTTGATTGGTAAATTCTTGAATGGTGTAACAAGTCCTTTGAAGTAACATTTTTTTTAGCTGACTTTTGAACACATTAATATTTGGGGAATTCTCAAGAGCTATTGGAAGCATATTGTATAATTTACACCCACAGAAAAAGTAGTACATTTAATTATAAAAAATATTGACCATAATTATTTTATTTTCTCCCATTTCCGTCCTGAAGAATACATTTTTTCAGTACGTTGAACTGCAAGCAGTTATTACAGTTTTTCATTCGTTTACGCAGTTTATTGAAAGCGAAAAGTGAATCATGTGTAATTTTTTTCTGGCCTGCTACCTACAGAGCTTACATCATCGAGATGAAACAGTTAACGTAACGTAAAATTAGATTATATATTTTTTTGTTGATCACCAAATATGCAATTTTGAGCTTATGCACTAAGAAATGTTCTTCCAAAGAAAATGAGTTTGTACCTGAGTATAGTTGGTTCGTTGTAGTGCAACAATTATATATTGGGAGACACGACAGAGGTTGACCATTTGAAATTCTTGAGAGCTTATATGCTCCTAGAACTGAACCTTGCGGAACACTAACAATTACTCACCTCACGCCCGCTATGGCGTAATTTTTGTGGGCGCTCAGCATTATGGAGTTGGACTGGAGCATCTTTGTCGTGATATTTCTAGTACCATACGGTAGGGTCAAGGAAATCGCTCCGGGGTCTATTTTATCATCGTTGAAGTCCCAAATGACGAAACCGTTACTCGTTGTTCCTGTTGAAATATAAGGTATAGTTTATTGTGAAATGAATTCAATATGTAAAACAAAGATTTGTTGGATTTGCTAAATAACTTGCTAAATAACATAATGAAATGAAGAAAAAGTCGCATGAGAGGAGCGCCGTGTTCAGTTTTGCCAGATCTGCTGTTTTTGAAGTATATCCCTTGTTTGATAGTTGAAAATTACGGGTGACTCAATTTACTTTCTATAATAATTATTGAATGACTGCATATAGTGGAAAATTACTACTTAGGTAGTATGCATCTATAAAATATATGTTCTACTGTTTTTTTTGTATCAACCTACTGTCCTACTGATACTGGTCGTTTTATTATGCTTCACAAACATAATTCAAAAGAGTTGATAGAACTTCAAGTTGGAACAATGCGTATTGCTAGTATAATTACCGAACAGCACTTTGTCAACTTTATCAAGTTTGAGTTGCAGCATCAGTTCTGTATCATCATTTTCAGCTCTTGGTAAGTCTTCGATTTTTTCCCATTTCTTCGATTCTTCCGATTTGGTATATTTCGTGACAATATACAGGTCGGGAGTAGAACATGCGTAGACCGTCGATTTGTCTTTCGTCAATACCATCGTACTGAAAAAATCATTGGATTTTCAAGAAAGTTTAATGGAGTCAAGCTGCTGGAAAATAATTCATGAAAATCAAAAGATAACTAGACATGTACTATTCTGATCATTCCCATATTGATTTCAATTTAAGAAGCCACCGGTAGAGGTGTGAGCCACAATAAAACCTTGCGGGTTGCGCACTCACTTTTGACCTAACCTATCCTAACTTCTCCTCCTTAACTTTCGAGCGGGGCAAGATATCAAAGTCGAGCAAAACTTGTACGAAAAAGAAACATTTTTAGTAAGCTTCAATGAAAAAGCCAATGGTGTGACATTACTTTCGACAGAGGGGATATCTTCGTATCTTTCATAGTTTCCGAGATCCCAATGGTGAGGATCGAATTTGAAACACCCCGTAGAGTACAAAATTCTCTATCGATCAGTGTATATAACGACACAGAATGAATATTCATTTAGACATGGAATACACGTGACATTAAAACGGTCAAAACTTTTGAAACAAACTAATAATTTGCATTAATTCATAACTTGTTCAATTCTCGACCCTACTTATCATTAATCAATACATTCATTATTTTTAATTTACTCCTAAGCGATTCATCAATACTTTTTCATTCCAATTCCTAATATCGTGTCGAAATACGAGAGATTAATCTTATATCAGCAGATATAATGATTATTAACACCTTCGATTGACGTTCTATTTCATACTGGCTTTGAATATAAAACAAGATAATCAGATTAGTAGCTCTCGTTTCCACAGAGAAATGTCATTGATAAGATAACACATATTTCTTCGTTAGAGAATCGGGGTTGATTAGGTATCAATAATAGTTTTAAAAACGTCATGTATCAACGCACCTGTGATATTCTAAATATTCGAAATCTCCTTCTCTGGTACGTAGCAATAGAGTCATTCTTTCGTCATCAAGATTACCCTTCCAAAAAACTATTCTGTACTCTTCTTTGTTGTCGAATTCCATATCTAAAAACGAATTTGATCAATTCATTTTCTATTATCTTGCTAGGTATACCACAATGCCCAGCTCGCAAGCAGAAAAAACGTGCATAGTGACATCTCACGAAAACTCATAATAGGTGATATACAGGATGGTGCATCCTTGGAGTTTACCCTCAAGAATAATTATTTAATATCGAGATTTGTTAAATAACTGTTGAGTCACATAAAAAAAGGATGGAATTTAATGGGAAAAAGTTGCTCCAGTTGACGTTATTTGAGACCATCCTGTATAATACCGCAAATGATTTTTAAGTTTTTTTTGTCTCACGTAAAATGGGCCAATCTGACATTTCTAGCGGGGCGCAGTATTCTTCTTCGTTGTTTCCTCTCATGTCGAATTTGATCCACCTGTCGCTTCCGTAGATGTATAGGTTATAGTTCAACAGGAATATTCCCGTCACAGCGCATCCTTCGGGAAGAGGATTGTCTATCGTGACGAACTCGCTTGACAGCATGTTCAGCAGGACAGTCTGAAAATCAAAATACGAGGGTCAATTGAAAAGTTTTTACCTTTCCCTCGTAGACAGCCTTAAGACGATGGCGAATTCTCTAATACCAGTTATGAATTTGCCATACAAAAGCGTAATCAACCACAAGTGAGTTTTCAGTTGTAATACGAGGTTTGTTTGATATCAATAGTTCAAAAGTGGATGTGAGTTCCAATCTTACAGACCGATTCTGTGCTTGTAGAAAGTGAGAAGCTTTTTTTAATTGAAAGGAGGATAGTTTCAGAATTTTTTTTTTTAGAATTGAAGCTTTTTGGTTCCATCATTGAACTGGTTAGAGATTTGTTAAAACTTTGGATTGAATGCCTTAATTTTGAATGATATGGACTGTGTTAATTCCAAGGTTTATAAACCAGCTTTTTGGATGAAAGGAGTGAGAAGCTTTCAGTTTTTCCTTGATATTTCTTGGAATCGTTATGAGTCGATAGTTTTTCAACTGGTTAGATCACTGTCCACTCTGGGTTGTTTTGTCAGCAAAGACAAGGAATTACTTCATTTTATTTGAACGTCTCAGAAGTGGAAAATTATGTTGGTTCTGACGTTTTTGGATCAGCTTTTTACTTGAAAACATTTGAGCATCTTCTTGATTTTTTGGCACATTTGACAATTAAGGGCTATCAGTTTTTTTTATGTTTTTCTACCAAAACTGTTGGAGTAGACAGTTTTCATTTGAACTTGTGGGGAGCTGTCAGATTATTTGACAAGATTTCATAGTTTTTATTTGAACCCTATCGGAATAGAAACAATTTGAAATATTACGGTCACGACCAGCCGAAGGCTATAAATGGAAGAAAACTCCCGATTCTATTAAATCTGGATATCTCCTTGCAGGTAAGGAAACACCCCCCTCTTCCAAAACATGTCGCAAAAAGATCCGGAATCGATCTACTCCAAGCACGAACTGATCGGCAAAGGCTCTTTCGGAGAGGTCTTCAAAGCCGTCAACAAGCGAACTTCGGAAGTCGTCGCCGTTAAAATAATCGACCTAGAAAAGGTCGAAGAGGAAATCGAAGTGGTGCGCCAAGAGATAACGATACTGAAGCAGTGCGACAGTCCTTTCATCACCAGGTACTTCGGGTCCTATCTGAAGGGCGAGAAACTTTGGATCGTGATGGAGTATCTAGGCGGAGGATCTGCTTCGGAGCTGATGAAGCCAGGAAGATTGGAAGAAACGCATGTAGCGATAATCCTGAGGGAAGTGCTGAAGGGACTTGAGTATTTGCACGGAGAGAAGAAGCTCCACAGGGACGTCAAGGCTGCCAACGTGCTTCTGAGCGAAACGGGGAACGTTAAACTCGCCGATTTCGGAGTTGCGGGGCAGTTGACCGACAGCTCCATGAAGCGAGACACTTTTGTCGGCACCCCCTTCTGGATGGCTCCCGAAGTAATCCGCCTGAGCGCCTACGACTACAAAGCGGATATCTGGAGCCTCGGAATCACCGCGATCGAGCTCGCGGAGGGTAAGCCTCCCCATGCGGACTTGCACCCTACTCGCGCCCTATTTCTCATCCCCAAAGAAAAGCCCCCTCGGCTGGGCACCGGCTTCAGCAAGCCGCTCAGGGATTTCGTGGAAGATTGCTTGAATAAGGAGCCGCAGCATAGACCCGCTGCCAGCGAGTTGTTGAGATACCCCCTCATCCGGAGGGCCAAGAAGAATTCCTTTTTGATCGACCTCATCGACCGATACAAGAAGTGGAGGGACGCCCATCCCGAGGATAATGAGTCCGAAACGTCTTTCAGCGCCAAGTCGCTCGTGATAGACCTCGATTGGGTGGCGACTGTGAAGGGCAGGGAGGAACCGCCAACGGTCGGCAGTTGTGTTCCAGCTATTACGAAAATGATTCGTTTTTTGGAGCCGAAACACCGCGATATCATTCCTGGGAGTCGGAACGACGGTCTCCTGGAGGAGCTTCAAGATGCTTTTGCGGCCGCTGAGGGTTCTAGTCCGGGAATTAGTCAGGCTTTCGTTCAAGGGTTAGCTCGGGCGTTGAAACCGTTGATTTCCGAGGAAAAGTTGGACGCTTTCGTGGGTAGAATGACGGAGAGTAAGACGCGGGATGATATTTCCGAAGGTGGGTTCAGCTTTGACAGTTTTGGAGGGTATATAACCGATTAATGTTCAGAAGTCAGTATTTCGTTCCATCGGTGTTTCGGTCAACCTAAACATTATTTGAAGTGAACGATAAGTACGGCGAAAAATCAATTCTCAACTTTCTGGAATCATTAATGTACTAAAAAAATAAACAATTTTGAATGGAAAATATACATTTTCGTACCGAATTTGCCAACGAAAAGTAGTCGTATGTAATAAATAGTACATATATTTTTTAACTACAGAAAAAAATTCATTATTACGTCACTTTACTTTTTATCGGACGTAGCTGGGCCCTATTTTATTAAAGCACACTGGAGGTGAATCTGGCCCTATTGATATTGTAACATAATATATATAAAGTATTTATTTTGAATATATTTCATTAAGTTTAAATCTTTCATCATTTATTTACCCTATTTCATCAAATAAAGGTATTCCAGTTTCAGACTGGAAAATTTGTTCGCTCGATCTGACAGTCTTTATTTTTTTCCCATTTATCCATGTAATGAATGAAAGGAGAAGTTTAGCTTGTGCTGCTTTACAACTTAACCTATATATATAATAAAAATAAAGGCATATACCTATACTTCAAAAGTTATATATGAATACTAGCGACCCCCTGCTCCGCACGGGTGCAATGCTGATACATATAAATGCGTATAATAATATTTCTGAGAATTTAGTGCCTACTATTATGAAATTGTACTATAATAGGGTTCAGCCAGCATTCGCCATGTAAGCGCCAAAAATGTGTTTATTCACGACATCACATTAGAAACGCCTGAAATTATCAATGTTCACTATATTATGCATGTTATATACATATAAACCTTCCTTTTGGATCACTCTGTTTATTGAAAAAACCCGCAACAAAATCCGTTGCGTAGTTTTAAAGATCTGAGCATACATACGGACAGACAGCGGGAAGGGACTTTGTTTGTCTCAACGCTGAACATGGCGCTCCTCGCGTGTAATTTTTTCTTCATCTTGATTGATTTGTAATATACAGCTTCGTTGGAGAAAATTTGATCTTATCGCTTGTGGCATGGTAAATAACACTGTGATGAATATTGCTAGTTTTGCTTCTATTATAACATAACAATTATTCATGCCCGCACAATCACAAATGTTATAACTTGAATCGTCTTTACAGGCATCCTGACAATTGTCAAAACTTAACAAACCGAACGTCGTCAATTTGTTCAATGCTCAATTTTTTTTCTTTATTTTTTAAACGTTTCAATAGTTGTCCTGCTCCTGCAGGAGACAAATCAAAAATTATGAAAATCAGTCAAGCTGTTTTTATTCTACTTCTCCATATCGATACAAAAAAAAAGTGAGATTGTTCAAAAGACGGAAGAAAGCAATTGATTTCCAAAAATAAACTCTATACAAAAATTTGTATATTGCTCAAAGAACTAACTTTCAGGCACAAACGGGAAAAAACTTTCAAAACAAATACTTTTATATGAACATTGAATTATACAATGCTGAAGAGGCAATAAAACACTTGCCTTTTTGCCTCTTCCGAAACATCAGATGTCCGCCATGGAGGATGACACTGTTTTATATAAGTGAAATTTTACCTCTTTCACATACTAGAGGCTCTTCCAACAAGGATTTCCGAAGTTTGACATTGGTAACTGTCATCTTGTTAAAGCTGCATCTGTCAAATTAGTTGTCATTCAATCTAAATAATAAAATAGTTTCATCAAAATGGGTGTCTTGTTCAGACAATGTACCGCGGGCTTTGCCCATTTTAACGGTCGCCACAATCAATATACCAATGGGACTATTCGCAAAATGGCGGATAAATTTGAGTCCACTGATTTAGCAAACGATCGACCCGTACATCGATGAAACCTAAAGTCTACCGAAAACATTGCCACTGTCTGTGAGAGTGTGCAGGAGATTCCGAGGCAGTCGATTTCGCATCGCTCACAAGAATTCGGCCTTTCGCAAACCACAACTTAGCGAATTTTGCGTCGTGACTTGGGCGTGTACCCGTAGAAAATTCAACAGACCCAGGAACTGAAAGTAAACGACCATAGACGTTGGCCAGGCCATCACTGTCAACGGCGAGTACTACAGGTTGACTATTACCAACTTCTTTTGGCCTGAATTAGATGCTCTGGACACCAACGACATGTGGTTTCAACAAGACAGCGCCACGTGCCACACAGCTCAAGCCTCATTGGAGATTCTGCACTAGCGATTTGAGGGCTTGATAATCTCATAGGAGGTGACGTGAACTGGTCACCGAATTCATGCCTTAGACTTTTTCGTAGGGGGTTTCTTAAGTCCTGGGTGTATGCGAATAAGCAACAAACCACAGTCATGGAAAATTGGACGTTTCGGATGCTGTGGCGGACATTTGCGCTAAATGAAAGACCCTATACAAGAGAAACACTTATATGTCCCCAAATTTTTATGTTGGTCTACCATCAGCAGTAGATAACAACTGTTTAATTGCGCTACGGAAAAAACTGGTACATACTTGATTGTTATTGGTATAAGCAGCAGCCCACTTGTTATCCGGACTTAGAACCAAATGCTGCATTATCCCTTCTATGTTCGGATTTACGTCTCTGGTCAGATCACTTGTAGACAAATCCCAGGTGATGAATCTGTTCGATACGGACACGACGTATCTGTAGTCAGAGGTCAAACATATCGAAAACACGGCGAACTGGTGACCCTCAAGGGAATACTGAAAATCAAACGTTCTTGTTGTCTGACTGAAAATATAGCCCGAGAGAGTTACCTTGAGGGGTCCTCCTGGCGTGTGTAAGCAGTGATACAATGGCAGGAGGGAACAGTGCATAGGCCCTTTGAAGTCGCAGTCGTTGAGTAACATTTTGATGTTGGGATTATGACTGACTTCGGGAAGCAGCCTCCCTATCAGCTGCGGGGCCAGCATGTTGGGGTATTGGCCCAGCACAGCTCCGCCTAGCCTCAAAGCGTCCGCCACCAACATCAATTCCCTGAAAAAGAAGTTCGATATAGTACGAAACCCTTGAATATCAAAGATAAACGATGCTCCCAAGGTCATCAGTTGCAAAACCAAACCAAGTCTAAACGAAATCGAGCAGATCATATTGTACTTTTAATTTGCACGAAACTTCTACACGCATGAATCGCTACACCAGTGTCTAGCTAGACCATCTTAGTTTTTGGACTTTGGTTTCAATCGAGTTTTTGAAATTTGTTAAACCAATGGATATTTCCGATTGACATTTCTTACCTTCTTGATTCTTTATCGTCAATGTTGGCGCTGGCGTCTTCATAATCTGCCAAAACGGCTTGCAGAGGGCAGCTAGATAGCTTTGCGTGAAGCCATTCGTAGTTGAAGAGAACATTATCGTATAAATCTTTAAAACGCCTCGATCTCACCAAGTGGAACGGTAGTTCTCCAAACTTGAAAGTAACAAAAATTCAATACCAGAAAAGAGATATATCGGTGAAGTATCAAAAAATTCCTGGAAAGTTTGATTCAGAAATATTTTTTTCTAAAATGTGTGTATGAATCAATATCTGACTTACCTTTCTCAAATTATATCTAGACACTTTTCCCTCTTTAGAGTAGAATACCAATGGCTGCACTGGAACCTTCCGATCAGCAATACCTTCTTTATCTGTGAGGTTGAATCTACAAACAGCTCTTTCAAAACCAATACTGCCACAGCAACCTCAAACTCACCTGTGTCGCTGGATTTCCGTGTATCTGAACGGCTTCGGTTTTCCTCCACCCCAAATGCCCAAAAAATAATCGGCGATCATGGAATGAAAGTACATGGCCATGTTCATGTTTTTGAAGTACCTCTCCTTGGCAGTATCGCGAAATTGTCTAAAGCGTAAAAGCAAGTTAGTGAGTTTGCCTCAAGGTCCGGCTCGCGGGCCATTCAGTGGGGCAGTTTACCTGTGGTACCAGTTCATGACGCTAACTCCGTCCGCTTCTCTTTCAGATAGATAGTTGGGTAAATCGTTCCTTATTCTCGTCCACAGTAGCGGGGGAATGCGCCTCACTGGGGGTAGATGGTACTGGTAGACATCATCTAAGACCTTGTCGTCTAGAGAGATCAGGTCTTCAAGTTCGGACTCAGACAAACCGCTTTTGGCCGCTGTTATGTAAGCTAAAGCGTGAAATACCAATATCCTGCCGTGCTAAAAAATTTCTGATCAAGAAGCGGTTCAGAAATTCTTCTAACACAGTTACCTGTTTTTCTATTCTTTCGAACAGCATCATGATGGAATCCATTACGGTCGAGGCTAGGTGCGTTTCTTGGGATTTCGTGTAGCTGCGCCATCTGCATATTTCTGCGAAAACCAACTTAACGAAGATGGGTAAGCTGCATTTGTCAATAGCATTCGAGACCAAACGCCACTGGTAGTTGGTCAGGTCCCTGTGGGCTGTTTGCATCCACATTCTGGGGAATGAAGACGAGTGAGAATTTCATTCGGCGCACAGTAGGTCATTTCACCTATAGGGTCTTTCATTAAGCGCTTCGTATCATTGCATCTGATAAAAACAAAGTGTGTGTGTGTGGTATATCATTGAAATTGTTTATTTGTTTGAAAGACCTATTGATGAAATATAACATCGTTCAAATTGGATGTTTCTTCCGAAACATCCAATTTCCCATGACTCTGGTACATAAATCAAGCCGGATTTGACCGACGCCATGGGTTATGTTGGTTTTGAGGACCGCTGAGGTTTGAGGCTTAATCGCATACACCTGCGACTTTAGAAAACCCCCAAAAAATCTAACGGGACCAAATAGCCTGATCTCGATGGCCAGTTCACATCACCTCCACTTTTGATGACCATTCCCTCCAATCGCTCGTGCAAAATATCCAATATTGCATGAGCTCTGTGGATGTAGTGCCGTCCCATTGAAACCAAATGTCTTGGTATCCAGAGCATCCAATTTAGGCCAAAAGAAGTTGGAAATCATCCGTTGACAGTTATGGTTTGGCCAACGTCGTTCTCAAAGAAATATGGACCGATGACTGAAGTAGTGGACTCAAATTTATCCACCACATTGCGAATAGTCTTCTCGATAGGACGATTATGGCGACCGTAAAATTGGCGAAGCGCGCGGTACGTTGCCCGAACAGAACACCCATTTTGACAAAACAATTTTATTTGTACGTGTTGTTGGATGCGATATCTGTCCATGGTGATTTGGCATAACAGCTGTAGCTTCAACATGATGACCATTATCAATTGTCAAAGTTTGGAAGTTTCTTTTGGAAGACTCTATATTTATCTAAGATAGCCCCCACGACAGTCGGTTTGAAGGGGTGCAGAGAAAGGTAGCAAATGAGTTTTCAGTCTATGAATGTACTGACCTGTTATTGAAAATTAATAATACTACCCATGATAATAACTAAGCAGATTTCATAAATAGAATTTTTATTCTAGACGTGTTTTGCTAACACCGTAGCTCCATTGGTTACTACAGATGGCTTGTCCTTTGAAGACAGGTGAGTGCAACAATGTGTTCGTAGATTAAGCTAGGTGAGACTTTGGCAGGTTGCAACAACGCTATCTAGTGTTGGATGACGATTGCTTTATTTTTGGTCTCATGATATCATAGGTGGAATGAACTACTGTGTTTTTGATGTTACTCCAACAAACTTTATAACTTTCATGGCCAGCTCTTCTCCCAAGGCTTTGACTTCTATAAAGTTTTCTTCAACATCTATCATCCTTCTGAGTATGTGATATTCCTTCGATACCTCTGGGTTACTTTCTTCGTTTGCACAGGATACAATAATCTATAAATCCCAAGCAATTTTTAGTTGTGGAGTCATAGAACATCAACTATCTGTTCCAATTCTCCAGCAAATTCCTACCTTGCAGTACGACGGTAATCTTGTTGGCAGCCATGACACTTTGTTTGCATCCTGGGTTCCAGTGAGTTGATCCACTGAGTCGAGGAATAGAAGTAAAGGTTGTTCCTTGGTGGCGAGGGTAAGTAGTTGTTTGAAATGGGCGGTGAGTGGCACCAAGTCATCTGGGATGCCTTCAAAGGGGAGCATGAAGTTGTAGGATATCTGAAAATATGGGTTTCTACAAAAATCTAATTGGAAATGATCGAAAAATTCTCTATGAATGGACAAACGACATAAATGTACCTCTACCAAATACTTTCATAAAAATTACAGGAGCCTAGTTATGTCTGTTTTTTATTCATCTGATCATCGAATGGTTTCTTGAAAAACTAAGCAATTGGAATTATAATAAAATGACATTATAATACTTTTACGTTATGTTTTTTATTTTTTCTGCTTTTTAAGGGTAGGTCCATTGAGATTTATGTCCTGTTTCATTTCAACATTTGTATTTCTGCATATACGACATGACAGACAATATATGTGACATGTTCCATACCTGTTGACAAATTGATATCAAAGTAGGCGTCAAGGCAGACGAATCTGGCGTTGTTCCCAAAAACCTTACGATGCTAATTGGCTTAGCACCCTGAAACCAGTCTTTACTTGTTGACATTCCGGCGGATTTGGCTAGAAGGGATGTTTTGCCACACCCTCCTTCCCCATAGAGTATCAAACACTTGTCAGAATCGTCCAACATGTACCTGTGGATGTGTTCCAAACTATCTTCTCGGCCGTAAAATACCTGGAGAAGTAGCGTGCGTTTGAACTACCCAAATAACACACCGCACTAGCCTACCTTCACCGAATTGTTGCAGGCGTGTAGGTGCTGCAATATCTCCGTTACTATCTGACCTTGAGCGCTGGAGTCTTCCTTCCTCATGGCTCTGTCCACCAGTTTGATGATGTTCTTGTAGAAGTGCGTTATGAAGTGCTTCAGGTAGTCTTCGTGGGTTTCATTGTCAAGCCCCTCTCTACCTATCCACTCAACTGTGTACCTAGAAAGGAACTGAGAGGTATTTCGTGGGTGTCACTTTCTGTCTTACTTTTGTATGTTGCTCGTCTCTATTTTGGCCGGGAGTCTCTCGTCTCTGAGGTTGCCAAGCAACTTGGCGGACTCGGTATCCAAACTTCTGTTGATTATGTCCACGAATAGAGAGGCTTTCTTTAGATTTTGGAGGTTAATGTTGTTGATGTATCTGATATAAGCCAAGCAGTGGTTTTTGGTGTTTTTCACATTCAAGATGCCATTTATTACTTCCCTCTCGGTCACTGAAAACACATCTGGATTAGCATTCGCTTTTGTGGATACTTTGGGAACAGAAACACACAATGAAGAAAATGATGCTAAAAGGTATAGTTGAACAATAATGATAAATATCAATGTCTGGTAGATGATTCATAATCCTTTGAACAAGATTATATGTAGAGCAAAAAGACGTATGTACAAGTTGGAAATTGAGGTGAAAGTGTTGCTATCCTGTAGGAAATATTAACAAAAGTATTGTGAGTTACCTGACATAAAATAATTATGTGTGGCATCATCGTCCATTTTTCCTTGCTGATTCAAAGACGCCGCTGCTTTTCTGAATAATTTTTGAAATTTGCCCAAAGTGTCCCACCATTTTGCTTGGTCTTCAGCTTGCAGTTTGGGAATCCTCTACAGAAATTAAATTTTGTTCCATACACTATTGAGTTCTTATAGTGATAAGAAAATAAAATATTTTGAAACTAAATTTACCTTGTTATTGAAATTTATCAGAATGGAAGATATAGGCTGCAGTACCGATATCGGGGGAACAGCGTTGGCATCCTTTCTGTACCAAGTGTCTATCAATGTAGGGTCGTGTCCAGTTGCTGCTAACTCGTCTCTAATCATCAGAAGTTCGGACGTCAGGATGTAAGTTGGAATTGGCCTGTAGCCATATTTTTGGCCCAAAAAAACCTTCAACATTCAATTAGTGACTGTCAAACAAATATTATACGTAAGTGCCAGTTAACTTACAACAAAATTGGGACCCATGGACAGCCTCTGACAATTTTGTATTTCTTTCATGCACAACTCGGTAGTCATGTGGTCATCCGTAGCTTCATCCCTTACTCCCCATCTCATATCTACAACCTGAAAGGAAGACAAGCTTGAAAGCCTTCTACAGGGTGTCCCGTGGATAATGGGTCAAACTCAAAGTGGTGATTGGGAGCTCAGTTTCAATCAAAAAGTTCATACAAGAGGTCTGTCAAAAAAACGTGTGCGTCTCGGAATTCCCGACAGAAGTGACAACTTAAACTAATCTTAATTGAACTATTTAATATCGAAATTGTTTAAATTGAGAAAAGCTTAGGTTATAACTTAAATTTTATGTATATCAATTTGATAATGTAAGGAAAGGTAATTTTTTATCAAAATATGTTCTGTATCTGTAGAGTAGGGAGGTTGAGTGTAAGTCCACAGCACTTAGGCCATATGTGACCCATTGTACATCCTCCCGAGGAGTTGTCCTCCTAGGTCATCGTCCATCCTGTCCTTTCCAAGAAGGTGGATTGGTCACTCGGAGACATCTCCTTTATATCGGCAGGTGTAGGCCAAGACTCGCCGAACACACACTCTCTTATTGACGATAACTCCAGGCACTCGCATAGGACATGCCTGACAATCTCATCTTCCTTTTCACACATCCTGCATAGAGGTGTGTCCACTAGCCTCATATTATGGAGGTGTTTCCTTAGTTGATAGTTGCCAGTCGGAAATCCTACTGTTAAGCGTAGATTTTTCTTGGTCATCGCCAGATATTTCTTCGGCGCCAGCTTCCCAGGCTCGCCCAAGGTGATCATGGCAAGATTGCATCCTTTGATTCCATCCCATCTCTCTAAGGATCGAGCATGGATGTAACATTTGGCTAGTTCCGCAATTGTCGAAGTCATCAAGCCGTAGGTGCCACTGGGTCCTAAATATTCTTAGTCCAGCCACTTCCTTGGCTAAAGAGTCAGCAATGCGATTACCTTTACTCCTGTCGTGCCCTTCAACCCACCTCAGGATAATGTTATTATCTATCGAAGCTTTGGCTAAATCTTGGTGACATTCTAGTAGTAGCCCTGAGGTTATACATTGTCTGTTCAAGGCTAATAGGGCTTGTCTGCTGTCAGTGCAATTTGTTATGTTTTTTTGCCAGAAATCCTTTTTCTGGTTATTTCTTTTGTGGCGATTGAGATACCAGCCAGTTCTGTTTGGACCACCCTGGTATTTTTTCCCATTCCCCACGCAATCCTTAGGCTTAGTGATCTGGAATACACTCCACATTCTGAACCTTCTTTGGTTTTTGAGCCGTCTGTATATATGTGTATTGCATTTACAGCATCTGACTTTGTGTTCTGTTTTATTTGTATTTTGTAGGGTTTTTTAAACACAAACCTGGGTTCAAGTGTATCACTGGTTGCCTGCAGCAGAGGTTGCGCAGTAAGCTCTTTCCGCCACTGACCCAGCCTCAATCGACCCATTCCTACTTCGACGTTTACACAAGCCGTGCGCAATCATACCATAGCCATTAATGCAACCTCCTTAACCTACGGGTCTGACCTCTCTGGACCATTGCCGCGGTTGGTGTTGTTCTCATGGCTCTTGTGATGTTTAAACAAGCCAGTCGCTGTATTTGATATAATTTTTGGATGGCCGTTGCTTGTAGAACTTTCGGTCCCCATGCAATGGTTCCGTACGTTAACATAGGTCTTATTATTGCAGTGTAGATCCAGTGTAGACCCCATGCGCGTCCTACTGTCCCCCGACATTGCTCATAAGCCACATATGCTCTTTTTGCTCTACTCTGTAGGTGAGAGTTCCATGTTCCATTATTTTGTGTATTATAGCTACCATAAGCCAATTGTTACTTTTGTAGGAATAAATAATGATACTAATAATGTACATCAACCAAATTAGTATCATCATTTTTAAGCCACATTTCCTCATAATGAAAGAATATTACGTGCTTGCTGCTTAGATTTCCATAATACTGTCAACAGTATATGTCTAACGCACATTAAATACTGAGCTTTGTCCAACGAGAGAGGAGGAACCTGCCTTTCGCTGACGTATGCGTCAGAGAAAGGGAAGCCAGACAGACTGGCTCTGTAACGCGTTAGTTAACGAAGCAGTTTACCCTCCCAGATGAATTTATCACCTCAAAACCTTCGAATGCCCAAATACAACCCATTTTCATTGTAAGCAAATTCAATTGTGTTTTTTTGGAACGTTCAATTTTGATATTTGTGTCAAAATGTGATATCACGTTAGAGGTATTGATTGCCCTGCATTCAGAATGGATACGGCCCAACTTCGTACCATCTTGTACTAAGATTTTACGTTAGCAGGGCCAAGGGCAATGATGCGAAAGTTTGTCGGGTAGCGTGGCTGTGTTGGCAAAAAAAAAGTAAGGAGGGTTATTCATAAATTCTGGATGGGCGTTCCAACTTTTATGTATATACATGGCAACGAATTATTCAAAGAAAGAATATAGTTCCGTGATAGAATGAAAGTAAGCTAGGTATGGTTATGGTTAATGTATATATGAAACTATTATAATTCGGGAAGTGCTTTGAGTGTATAATAACCTGGAATATGAACGAAGCTAAATGAGCAGATTTTCTGTAGATTCACCTCCGTTCATTTCTCAGATTGTAGACGGTTATATACTCACAAAACAGTAACACAGTGTTGAATTAATTCAGAAAAGACTGCTTCGTACAAAATATAAAGAAAGAGGGACGATTCTTTGAGTTTTTAAATATTTACGTATGTTTAGACGTCAACTCAATCACTTTACTATACTAGAAGCGCGGAAAAACTGTTCAGAAGGTGTTTTCAGCCTAATAAGTTGACATCATCAGGGAATAATGAATCTTTTGCCGTTCAGATACATGTTTTCATGAGATACATTTTGGATTAATAGGCTAGTAGAACTAGCCGTTACAAGTTATTTGCTTGTCAACATTTTTGAAATTTCAATCCATTGAGCTTGGGAAATAATCGACTCGAATTTTGGTGATAGATTTTTCTTTTTTTTGATAGGAGAGTACTTATTAACTAGCCATTAATATTCTAATATTATTTCGTAACTGAGAAACGCTATGGATACTGACAGTATATTTTTTTCAACTTTAAGAGCAAAGCCATCAACTGCCAAGATTGAAGAATATAGAATTCATTATTGGAATGAACTGCACTGATACCGATTTTGGCATTTAATTTCTAGTTATCGTTGAGTTATCTAACTAAACATCCTAATTTTTTCATAACTCTGGATAAAATACCTGAAATTCGAGTCCATGTTTCTCTCGGCAGTAATCTTTTATTTTCGGATAACATTTTGCCATCAGCGTATTTCTCTCCATGGTTGTGTCTAAAATATTATTCAGCATCTTGAATTACATCGGGTAAAAAATACACTTGATACCCACCTGTAAATGTAGAACTCGTAAAAATTCTCACAATTTTCGAACTGACTGGCGGCAAACTTTCCAAAGAGCCCGCGAAAATTAGATCAATCGTTCTGTCGTCCATTTTATTTTATTTGTGCGTTGAAAATGAACCATGAACTTTCGATGCAGTTTATACTCTTTGGGAATCTACCTCAGACTGAAAACACGTCTGAACTGCTAGGAATGATCGATATTTAAACTGTTTAGTTGTTTTCGCGGGTTGTGACGATGACATCGGAGTGTGTTCGTGAAATTCGGAAATAATTTGCAGCATAATTGAAGTTTTTTGGCGACTTATTTGACTAACAGAGTGCTTAAACAAATTGCTGGAACCTTCAACCGCTCTTAGGATGAGATTCTCATCCAACGCGTTCAGTGCTGTAGTATCAAAGGATTCAACGGTACCATGAGCATCGGATTAGTTGTAACAAACGCTCGGAAATTGATATTGTGTTTAGTTTATTCGCTTTTGTTAGTATTGTTTTTAGTTTTTGTAGTTGGTTATGAAGTAACTTACCACAAAATATTCTGCAGTAGATTTGTAGAAATCTCTTAGATTATTCGAGCCGTAAACATCCAAATTCAGGACCGTATTCAGTTGGTGATGAAGTTTAAAAGTAAATCGCACAAACATATTTTAAATATTTTACGCAGATACAATTTCTCCCACCGGCCATGACTCAGTCCGGCAGCTGTAATTCCCTAATAACAACACTGATAAAGACGCAACGACTTTATCATCAACTCTAATTCTTTAGGTAACAAAGTACCCAATTAAAGCATTATTAGATCCGATTTGGATCATTACGTCGTCTTTTCTAGCGATAAATGAAAATATGGCAGGTATGTCTGATTCAATCAGGTGGGCTGTGCAAGTATCTGATTCATTGAAAAGTGCTCTTCATAGAAAGTAATAAAAATAAATCTATTTATTATTAATACGAGTGTTCCATATTTTTGTATCTCACCGTATACATACAATGACTCAGTTATGTACGTCTATGGACGCGCTCCTTGAAAATCATTCATTACTCCGCTGCTAAACGAAATAGACTATGCATATAATAAAACTTCTTATTAACCACTTTATTCGCTTGTCTCAGGTGTTTCACAAGGTTCATACGTGAGACCACTTCATTTTGATTTCTATGAATTACTTTCCTTTCATAATAATTTTACTTTTACAGAAGATCTGAGCAAAGACACACATCTCTGAGAAGATGCAAGCCTCCACATCTAGTATGGTGGGGAACAACCCCCATACGACACAGATGAATCAGTTCAAGAGCTATGTAACTATGCTGGGAGACCCAGACTGTAAGGATGTACTCAAACTGAAGGCTACTCAAGAAATCAGTAAACATTTTGAGGTGAGCGAGATGATCATACATTTATGGACTAACTTTTTTTGATTACTTTTGATATGATTATCATGAAAATGTTTTTCAGATGATTCTGAATTCAGCACTTTACCCGAGTTTCCTGGACCACTCCGTCAATATTTTTTTGAAAATTCTCGATGAAGGATATCCTCTTTTTGTGGCCGAGTACAATATTCAACAGGTGCGAAAATTAATTTTAGAAATGCTGTACAGACTTCCTACCAACGAGACCTTAAGACCTTACGTGAGACCAATCCTATCGCTAATGTTGAAGCTACTGGAAATTGATAATGAAGAAAACGTTCTGGTGTGTCTCAAGATTATTATTGAGCTTCATAAGCAGTACAAGCCTCCATTCAGTCCAGAGGTAAGACACATCACCAGCAACTTGATGTTAGTTAGTATGGATGTTTTATTTTTTAGATTCAAAAGTTTTTGCAATTCGTTAAATCTATATACTCGAACCTACCGAACCATATGAACAAGATTTTCGAGCCCAGGCCTCCGATAAAAGTCAAAGATCTGAGCGAGGTGAATATAGAAGAATTACTCAAAGAAACCTTCACTATGACCATCATCCAAACAGAAGCTCGAAATAAGGATGGGACATTGAGTGCTGTAAGTAAATCTTTTACAAGTCAATATACTTTTTTGTCCTTCCTCGCTTTATATGGAATCTTTCATTGAGCGTTTCCTATCTTTGAATTTGAGCGATGGCATGGGTTAGGTAAAAATAATAAAGACAAAGCATCCAAATTCGAGAATTCAGGAATCACACGTTAAAAGGTAAGACCTCGTTAGTCCTCAGCTCGCACAAGTTCCTCAAGTTCAGAGAGTTGTCGTTCGTATGGGGACGACAGCTGATTAACGGAAAAACAGATTTTAAACAAATATAATTTGAAGTGTGGAACGTGCCCTAAGGTATATATTGGTCAAACTGGCAGACCATTTAGGAATCGAATCCAGGAACATCATAAATGAGAAAATCATATCAAGAAGAGTTCGAAATTTTGCACATAGAAAATAAATGTTTGAAACTGAATAATTTAGAAGCAATGGAAATTAATAAACTTAAAAATTCAAACATTTTAATGAATGACCAACTGGATTTGAATAGATCACCATTATTGAACTTGTTTTCTTTANATTAAACTTGTTCGTGAACTCAATGAGGATGATTTTGACCGAAGACAGGAGTTTTGTGAGGGCATGAGTGAAATATTAATGCAAAATCCCGAACTGCTTTATAACATCTGTTATTCGGACGAAAGCTCATTTTATTCAAATGGTTGCGTGAACCGTTACAATTGCCGTTATTGGTCGGATGAAAACCCAAGACAATACGCAGAAATACATACCCAACATCCCCAAAAGTTGAATATCTGGGCCGGAATATTAGGCAATCATATTATAGGTTCATTTTTCATTGATGGAAATTCAACCGGTGATTCTTATTAACAACTTCTTGAAGAGGCAATTCAACCTTCATAAGTAGGTGCCACTCAATTTACCTAAAATGTAATGGTGGTAACCAACCCCATCCCCCGGAGAAATCTCCTCGTAATAAACAAATAATTCGACATCAAATGGACACGTATTAGCAGGTTGTCATAAAAAGCAAAAATTTATTTTTTTCATGAAAATTCTGAACGTAAATTGTACCTTAAAAACAATTTGATTTATTTTAAAAAGAGTTGAACTCAATAAAAATACCTTTAAATCTTCAAATTATCTCACAAAACTAATCGTTACAAAAATTTTCTTTTAACAGAGATATAAAGGTATTCGAAAGACCTTTAAAACAACGTGCCACTCGACCTACTTTCCCTATCTAAATAAGGGTCGTCGGACGCACCCCTCCGAGGGGGTGCGTTCCACAAAAAATCTGTTTAGTCTGAAAGGAGTCCCCCTTTAATTAGAAATCGACGTGTCCGAGCTTTTTTTTAAATTCTTACTTTTTATATTCAAAAACGGCTCTTTTAAGTTTTCGTTGTTACACACTGTATAAAAATTAGTGTAAGAAACAAGTCGAAGTATTCAAATCACTTGACAAAGCTACTGTGCTAGCGAAACATATGGTGATATATTTTTCAAATAAAGTTTGTGGAGATCAAATCGCGATTTGATCCATCCAAAATATGTCAATTGAAAAAAACATCACTTCCGAGGTGAATATTTAATATGGTGTCAAGTGTGTGACATCAAATCGCTCCAATTTATGTTTCTCTTGCAGTACTACCTGATACCCAAAGCCATATTGTCTCTGAAAGTCTTACAAGAACTGCCGATAATAGTAGTTCTGATGTACCAGCTGTACAAACAAAGCGTCCACCAAGACGTCAGTGACTTCATCCCATTGATCATGAACACGATAACTCTGCAGCCTAGTCTGGAACAAAGACACGCGGAAACTTTCAACAAAGAGATTTTCGTGGATTTCATGGGAGCCCAAATCAAGACGCTCTCTTTTCTGGCGTACATCATCAAAATATACCAGGAGGTGGTGCAGAATCACTCTTCGATGATGGTGCAAGGCATGCTGGGGTTATTGACGTTGTGTCCTATGGAAGTGGCGCATCTCAGAAGGGAGTTGTTGATCGCAGCTAGGCATATTTTAGCGACCGAGCTGAGGAATAGTAAGCACTCGTATGAACCTGCTGCTTAGTATGAGTTTGAAATAATTTTTTGTGTAGAGTTTGTCCCGCACATGGAGAGGCTTTTTGATGAAGACGTCTTGCTAGGGAGGGGGTGGACCACTCACGAATCTCTCAGGCCTCTGGCTTACTCGACTCTGGCAGATTTGGTCCACCATGTCAGGCAACAACTGCCACTAGCGGATCTTACTAGAGCTGTTCACCTTTTTAGTAAAAACGTGCACGATGACAGCTTGGCTACTACGTAAGTATACCTTTGAATGTATTTATTGTGTATAATCATGATTTTTTGGCAAGGATCCAAACCATGTCGTGTAAGCTACTACTCAATTTGGTGGATTGTATTCGGATAAGGTCCGAAGAAGAAAAAAGTAGTGAAGGACGAGAGCTGTTGATGCGAATGTTGGAGGTGTTTGTTTTGAAGTTCAAGACCATCGCCAAAATCCAACTGCCGATTCTGATCAGCAAATGGTGAGTGTCAATCAGACGTAACTTAGTCAAGCTACATGTGTTTTTTTTTTTTTAGTGAACAGAGAAAACAAGAAACACAAAATCTGCTGCAGAATCAGTCACAAGCAGGTGGAGTAGCAGTGAAACAAGAATCCGACATCAAACCGAACCCTGCGGAGCTCTTGGAGAATGTTCTCGCTAACGCGCAGGGTACTCAGAACAAAGAGGAGAAGTCAAAGTTTGGTTTTCCGCAAAGCAACAATTACAATGTCACAGATTACAGAAGTTTAGTAAAAACCTTAGTTTGTGGGGTTAAAACAATCACTTGGGGCTGTTCTGCTTGCAAGGTTAGTTACAGATTTCAGTTCTTTATTTTTTTTATGCTTGACAAAGCATTTTTTCTGATCAATCATGGCATCTGAGCCCATGTTCATTTATTTCATTATGACCTTTGTTGTGGGATGTGGAATAAAGAATAAGCAATGAACATTACCTTTTTAGTGTTTTAGGTATCATTTGAAAAAGGCGGTCTTTCTGTCAGTTTCAGTAAAATTACAAGTAATGATTCTGACTTGTTTCTTGGATAATTCAATTTTTCATTTTTCGATTTTGATTCGTCATTGCAATTGAATTTTTTTGTTGCTCCAACTTGAAATTAATAGAGAATTGAATTATCTTTCACTCACACTAAATTTGAAATTTCGTTTAAAATCATGATTAGAATTTAAATAAATTGTTCACTTTNGTCAAGTGGGCGTTGAAAGCTTTGGACATCTACACTCTGAATGTCGGACCTCAACCTGCTGGCCTGCCGCAGCGCATGAACCAGCAAAACATGAGGACGAAGGAAGAAAAAGAGGTTCTAGAACATTTCAGCGGAGTGGTAAGTGTATCGTAACAGAATGGTTTCTTGCACTCAAACTTGTTGGGTTTTCAGTTCTCTATGATGAATTCCCAGACTTTCCATGAAATTTTCTCGACTACAATCGAATATTTGGTGAAGAGGGTGTATAAAAACCCTACTCTGCAGACTGTACCCAATACTCTTCTGGCCAATCCTACCACTAGTCCAATTTTCGCCACAGTTCTAGTGGAGTATCTTTTGGAGAGAATGGAAGAAATGGGCTCGAATCTGGAGAGAAGCAACTTGTATTTGAGACTGTTTAAATTAGTTTTCGGCAGCGTCTCTTTGTTCCCGCAGGAGAACGAGAATATGTTGCGACCTCACTTGCATCAGATATTTCAGGGTTCTTGGCAAATTTGGCGGTGGCAACAGAAAAATGATGATAGAACCGCAGAAGTTGGACTACGTCGCCACTGATTTTGACCCACCTGCAATTTTAGCGAAATTCCACGATCAAGATCAACCCATAGAGTTTCCAGTTTCTAAGGTAGAGCTCTGTCCTACTCTCAATGAAAAATCTTGATATGGATTCATGTCACTGCCTGTTTCAGGTGATTGAAACTGCGTTCAATGCGTTAAAACAGAGCAATACCGATCCGTTCTACAGGAAACAAGCATGGGAGGTCATTAATTGTTACTTGACGGCTTCTAGAAGCCTCGACGATGATGAAAATACTCTCATCAATTTATTCTTACATCCCAGCTTCCACGATCCCAGCACCATACCCAACATCAAAGGTTCCACCTACAAATCGATATACAAAGAAGCCAGGGAAACACACCAAACGGCACTCACAGGTAAGGGATCAGAAAGGGAAGATTTTCGTAATCAAATAGTTGTTACATTTCAATGTGCTATGTTGAATTTTCGGATACGAAATAGATTGTAACGGACTGAAGAAACATTCCAGATTTGCAGTAACGTGTTAAACAAAAGTTAATTTCAGAAAACTGATTTGGATGTTTTTTTTTTTTAATAACCGTATGTAAAATTTCCGGGCATTATTTAATAAGTTATATTTATTCGTTGAACACTTGAAATATTGGCATTGATGCGATAACCCAATCAAACGAAGTAAATCGCACCTACCTGGATATTTTTTTCTCTTCCTTCTCCGTAGGTTTTTCTTTTCTGGGCGATCTTCAATTTCCTAGGAAAGTGGACTGTAATTTTTTTGTTGGTTTGCGATTACACAGTAAGATTGTTTTTTGGGGTAGCGATAGGGCACTATTGGGACTAGTGAGAAGCACTGTACTGTATTTTTACTATCCTTTTCTCGAGCTTCGCCGCTCTTTTACCGAGTGTTCGATTGGGCGGTGCCATCGTGCAAAGAATTTACATGTAACACGAAGTAAGTCAAAAATTAATATTGTTTATAGGGAATACAATAAAATGAATGTAAAATATATACACAAAAAAAGAGGATAACACCGGGTGTTAACAATATTTTAGGAATTTTTCATCTAAAATAATTTCTAAAAGACTTTGTCAGTTCCTTATAACTGAATATTAAATGTTCATCTTAATGATAAGTTGTAGAAATCAGACCGACCTTCCTCCGAACTTCACACACAGCACTATTTATGTGAATCACTCGTTGTAGATACCGGAAGAAGAGTATTTGAATGAAGAAATCGTAAGACCCTGAAAACTGATTGACCTTCACCTATTTTGCCTATATAACAGACGTAATATTTTGCAGAAATTTTAATAAGAAATATCAATTTGACGTTTTCTTCATTTTCCCTTGAGTCTCCAGCGTTCACTAGAAACCTCTTTTAAAAACCAATAAAAAGATGTTTATGAGAATTTTTTCTCATGTAGGCACAATTTATTTTTCCTATAAGCATCAGCATTACATATTTTTTACATCGATAATGTATTAGGTGGGCTTTAAATTTCGTAAGCTAACACACAGATGGCGCTACTAGTATTAAATCCATATAATTTTAAGTTATCCCTAACCTTCAAAAGATACGTGTACAAATTTCGCAGCTGTTTGACTATTAATTTATCGAATAAAACATTTTGAGTGAAGCAACTTTTGTTAGTTTGAAGAGAATTGGTAAAAAAGAAAAGCATTACTTTTTGTCGAAAAAAAAAAATACTGTTGAAGCCAAGACTTGGCTTGATAAACATTATTCGGACATTGCACGAGGAAAATCAACCGTTAAGAAGTGGTTTGTTAAATTTAACGACGATGCATGCAGTGGACGCCCCAAAGAGGCTGTTACCGACGAAAACTTCATAAAAAAAGTCCACAAAATAATTTTGGATGTTGGAAGTGAAATTGATCGAGATAGCTGAGGCCATCAAAAGATATCAAAGGAACGTGTTGCACATATCGTGCATGAATATTTGGGTATGCCAGAGCTTTGTTCAAAGTGGGTACCGCGCGAAATCACAATTGACCGAAAACAACAACGATTTTGATGATTCTGAGCAGTGCTTGAAGCTGGTAAACCGACTCCAAAGCATGCAGGGACGCAACAGTCGGCTGGCAAGGTATCAGTATTTTGGGATGCGCATGGTTTAATATTCATCGGCTATCTTGAAAAGGAAAAACCATTAACAGCGACTATTAAATATCGTTATTGGAACGTTTGAGAAACGAAATCGTCGTAAAATTGCATGAATTGGGATTCTTATTGCTTCCGCATCCACCTTATTCTCCAGATTTGCCCCCAGCGACTTTTTGCTGTTATCAAACCTCGAGATAATGCTCGCTGAAAAATTTAGCACCAAGATAATCGTCGAAGCTGAGGCCTATAATGAGGCTAAAGAGAGGTGCTGAGGTTAAAGACAAATCGTTTGATAAAAATGGTATCGAAAAATTGTGTGACAGCTATAATTGTTGTATCGCCCTCAAAGACAGCTATGTTGAATAATAAAATGAAATTTTACATAAAAACATGTTTTTCTATATTAATCTAAAAAATTTTCAGCTCAACTGTTATATCTCTTATGTTGATAGCTCCGTGCATTATGTCATTACCTTTCAGGCATGTTCGTTGGGGCTGCTATAAAGGAACTTCGAGAAACTGTAATACCGGCACTGGTGTCTCTTGTCCGACATTACACCATGGTCGCAGTCTCTCAGCAATCTGGCGCGTTTGCCAGTAATCCAAAGTAAGTCCCACCTTTTTTTTTTCTTATTCGTTTTACTGAATTGTTTTTCAAGGCCCAATAAACAAGTAACCTTAGATCCGATGGTATTGGTGGACGCTTTAGCGATCATAATGGGCCATGAGGAGAGAGAACTCTGCAAGCCCGGTCACTTGGGCTTGGTTCTGATCGTCGACACTGCCTCCACTCTTTTGGGCAGTAAGGAAATGGTGAGGAAAATAACCGTGTTGTATTAACATTTAGTTTCAGTAATTTGAGTTGAAGAAACAAGTGTTGAGTTCTTCATTTACTCAATATTAATCTTTTAAATTCTATTTTTCCGCTAACCAAATGTCGCACCCTTACGAACAATAACCCTCAAAAGTCGAAACTTGTGCGACCTCGTTAGGTCTAATCTTCTAAAATACGATTTCAAGCACGGATTGGACGATAAGCAGTTTAAATCGATCGTCCGTCCGTAGGGCTTGAATCACCGTTTTACATAACTATCGTCTGAATATGAAGGATAAACTGAAACCGGCTATCGAAGTAATTTCCTATATATGAAAAGCAGAAATTAAATCGGTTGTCGGGGCGACAACACGTGTCCACAGTTTAACACCCTCTTTGGAGGTTAGTGTTTACAATAACACCTATATCTTCATTTATATCCTGTTCACGCAGGTAGCTATAGCTGCGTACGTGGTCATGTTAGAAGTAGCCTGAGAATTTTAGGTCCTCTAACTGGAACCACAAATGTGCCATTGGTTCCTGTTGGAGACACTGTGCATATGTGATGTTCTCCAATTTTGGTAACCAGATGTAACCCATCTTTGCGGTTGGCTACACCACACTGATGAGACCAATAGCCAGAAACACGTGTCCGCTGTTTGCCCCCATTTTTTGAAGTGATGTGCCAACGAAATCTTTCCTTTCGTAAATACAAGCAATTTTGTGTAAACGGTTATGTTGTTTGGTGTAGTAACCAAACTGTTTTGTTTTCATGACTCTTTCGACTCTTTTCGAATGCACCAAACTGATTATTCATTTAAGATAGATTGACCGTCCTGTATGTACAAAATGGTTTAGACTTCCACGGCTGAGGTTTTCAGTGTCATTGCTTTTCGAGTTTGAAAGCCGTGGATTTTTGGAATTTCTTCCTGACGTTTCGCTGGCGCGAGTGGCTAGCTTCTTCAGAGGTTCAACCATCATGTCTTGCTGTCCGATGAGTCATCGGACAACAAGCCATGATGGCTAGGTTAGGTTAGGTCAGCAAGCCATGATGGTTATGTTAGGTTAGGTTAGGTCAGCAAGCCATGATGGTTATGTTAGGTTAGGTCCGATGACTCATCGGACAGCAATCCATGATGATTAGGTTAGGTCAGCAAGCCATAATGGTTATGTTAGGTTAGGTTAGGTTAGGTCAGCAAGCCATGATGGTTATGTTAGGTTAGGTCCGATGACTCATCGGACAGCAAGACATGATGGTTAAACCTCTGAAAAAGCTAGCCACTCGCGCCAGCGAAACGTCAGAAAGAAATTCCAAAAATCCACGGCTTTCAAACTCGAAAAGCAATGACACCGTCCTGTATGTACCTTTAAATCTTCAGACATTGAAGTATATTTTGAATTCTAATTGTATTACAATGTACGTTTCAGGCATGCAGACTCCCTTTGATAGAATATCTCTCTGAAAAAATGTGCGCCCTCTGTTATGAACGCGCCTGGTACGCCAAACTGGGTGGCTGCATAGCCATCAAGTTCATGTTCGAACGATGCGCTCTGAAGTGGATCTATGAGCACATGTTCATGTTCTTGAAGGCACTGCTCTTCGTCATGATGGACCTCACGGGCGAGGTGTCTAGCGGCGCTCTAGATATGGCGAAGGACAATCTCCAGAAGATGCTGATCGTGTGCGTAGCGGTACCTCCTAAAGGCTCCGACAATACCACGAAACAGTTGCAGAACGACGCCTTGCGCAAAGTAACGCACGAGCTGGTTAGGCAAGTCACTAGTCCTCACACCATGGTTAGGGAGCAGGTAAGGTCAACGCCTCTTTAGTTCATACATATGCTATGAAATGATTGTGGGGGCACGAATCCGCAGTTTTGCTTAAAAGTAGAGTCGAGCTTTGTTAAATTTCAGTCCATGGCTTCGTTGAGATTGCTGGCTGAGAAACAGAACAAAACCGTAACAGCTGTCATGGAACCATTCAAAGACGTCTTGGCCGATATGGTTCCACCGAAGAAGCACCTGCTCAAGCACCAACCAGCCATTGCGCAAATGGGTCTGATGGACGGCAATATGTTCTGCACCACTCTGAGCCCGAGACTATTCACAATAGGTAAGAGAAACTCTTGACAGAGACCAGTGAAAAACACTTCGATTTCCATTCCAGACATGAGTATTAAAGAGCACAACCTGTTCATCCAAGACCTTTTATCTCTCTGTAACACCGAGGACAACAAACTGAATTCTTTTTCGTGTTACAAATCCATCACGAATTTCATTCCTTTGCGTACGAGTGCACTGAGAGTATTAGCGGCCTGTTACTACTTAGAGGACGTCAGAGAACAAATTTTCGAGGTGCTGTACAAGGCTCTGGAAAAACCCAATGCCGAACTTCAAGAAACCGCGTTCGAGTGTATGAAAAAGTTTATAGCAGGATACGCCGTCGAGAAGGATTTGGTTGGTGTTTGATAATTGATGAGTCTTCCTAAATATATTGTTTTTTCTTTTAAGGTTCATCGCACCGTTAGACCACTTCTTATGACTCTCGGTGACGTCAAAATGTTGACGTTGAACGGCGTTAAAATGCTGTCGTACCTGACGCAACTCTTTCCGAATATTTTCAATGAGAAGTTGTGCGTTCAGTTGCTCGACAACTTGAGGGAGCTGATGGAGAATCTCAAGACCAGCTATAAGGCTAACCAAAGTAAGTTATTTGATGTTCATCGGCGAAATCTCGGCACTGTGAATCATTGTCTCTGTGTACAGGCACCGGTTTATCCAAGAAGGGCGAAAAAGAACAGAAAATAATGACAATCATTGGCATCTTCCACCAAACCCCGGCAGCTTCGTCGAAATTCATCAGTCAACTGTGTCAACTAATCCTGCAGAGCGAACAAGCTATGGGTATCGAGGCGAGCAGCCCCTTTCGCGAAGTACTCATGAAATTCCTTTTGCGCTACCCGTCGGAGACGCTCGAAATGTTGATGAACGACCACTTCGTGAAGGACAGTCAGTTCAGCAGATACCTGGAGTTCTTGATCAAACACAAGGACGGGAAGCCGCTCAGGGACCACATTCAGAACAACATGGTGAAGCGCCTGATCGCTATGTTGTTGTCGAACTACATAAATTCAAATTTGGAGGCGAACGAGCGCAACGAGCTGCAATATCAGAGTATAAGGATTATTTCTCTTCTGATCAAATTTGACGATCAGTGGTTGTCGACCCAGCAGGAGCTCGTCGATGCTCTGAAGCAGATTTGGTGTGACGACGCTTATCAGGAAAGGCACAAGAACGTCGAACAACTGGAATATACTCACTGGAAGGAGCCCAAGCTCGTCGTAAAAATATTGCTGCACTATTTCTGCCACCATCCCACGGATATCGATCTCTTGTTCCAACTCCTGAGAGCTGCCGTCGATAGATTCATTCCCGAGTTTCAGTTCCTGCGGGACTTCTTGGAGAATACCGTCGCGCAAAACTACACGGTGGAGTGGAAGAGATCAGCTTTCTTTAGGTTCGTGGAATTGTTTCCGACCGCCGAAATGTCCCAGGTTAGTTTATCGAATAGTGCTTTCGATTGCTTGTAACATTGAGTTTATTTTAAGGAGTTGAAGTCAAAAGTTCTGCAGCTTATTTTGATTCCATGTTTTGCTGTTAGTTTCGAACGCGGTGAAACCAATAAACTCGTCGGAGGACCGCCCATGCCTTATCAAGACAGCGCTGATAATGTTGTTTCAGTGTTCATCAATAAGGTACGTTGGTATGTTTTCTAGCGCAACGTTGATTATAAGAATAACTTCATTCAGATTATGTAGATGATTTTCTTTGCATCAGCTTAAACTACATCGAAGACTCTTTATCACTATATAGATAACATCATTTTTCGTCAATTCAGCACCTAATATTCCGAGTAAAGGCGTTACTGATAACATATATGAATAACGAACGTACCTGACATCATTACTTGAACAAGCGTTGTATATGAACATTAAGACACCTCTAATTCCGTACTAATGACGACCCTGACACCAAATGTGAAGGTACCACACTTGACAACATATTTACTGATACTGACCGCACACCTGATATCATTTTTCCTGACGCCACACCTGACACCATTTTACTGACCCCACACCTGACACCATTTTACTGACCCCACACATGACACCATTTTTAGTAACGAAGCGCCAGAAACTATTTACATTTTTTTTTTTTCTGATCAAAAACAGACTTTATACCAAGGCCTTTTCCTTGATTTTCACTATTTTCGTTTTCAGTTGATAGATCCAGATAATCCGTTTCCTTCTGCCGACTGCGTGCGAATATCCCTCCTGCAGTTCTCCTGTCTGCTGGTCGAACAGGCTAGTCCGCACATCCACGATCACGACGCCAACAATAAAGCCCAAGGTTTCAAATTGCGACGACTGATGACTTTCGCCTGGCCTTGCCTTTTGGTGGAAAACTGTATAGACCCAGCAACACGATATCACGGCCATCTGCTGCTGTCGCATATAATCGACAAGTTCGCTATACACAGGAAAATTGTTTTGCAAGGTAATTGAGAGCTTAAGTTTGGTGAGTGTGTTTGCAAAGGCCTGGTTTTAGTTTTCCACAGTTTGCTGAAAGCGCATGCAGTAGAAGCGAGAAGCGTAGTTCGACAAGCTCTAGAAATATTGACGCCTTCAATGCCCTTAAGGATGGAAGAGGGGAACACAATGCTCACCCACTGGACGAAGAAGATCATCGTAGATGAAGGCCACTCGATGCAACAGCTGTTCCACATTCTGCAGCTTGTAGTTAAGCACTATAAGGTAAATTGAAGGCTTATGACGAATGCTTGTTTTCAAAAGTGGTTTGTGGTTTTTTTAGGTATACTATCCTGTCAGGCATCATCTAGTGCAGCACATGGTTAGTTCCATCCAAAGATTGGGCTTCAGTCCGACTGCTACGCTCGAACACAGAAAACTAGCTGTAGAATTGGCCGAGGTGATAATAAAGTGGGAAATTTACGGGATCAAGGAAGAATCTGAAGGAAATGAGGTAGCGCAAAGTTATTAAACACTGCACTAACACAGACTTATTATAATGTTTTCAGCCGGTTGAAAATGCTCCAATGAAAAGACCCATGTTCGATGAGAGTGGAGAAAACAGCCGAAAAAAAATCGCTATCGCCGGACCTTCCGGCACGGTCTCCGTACCGGTGATAAAGACAGATCCTGGTGCCAACAAGCCCATAGACAGAGCTCACACAGATACGGTGCTCAATTTCTTGCTCAGACTGGCCTGCCAGGTATTTTCTTTTCAGTTCAAGGGTCTGATATGTCTTGTGAACTGTTTTTTTTTTAGGTAAACGAACCTGCGTCTGTGAATCCGGCCAATCCGACACTCAACACTCCTGGAGAGGTGCTTTCGAGGCGTTGCGTTATTCTGTTGAGGACCGCTCTCAAACCGGATATCTGGCCCCAACCAGTCGACTTGAAACTTGCGTTCTTTGACAAAATCCTCATGACGATCGAAGCGCCCAATCCGAACATCGCGAACATCTGCACTGCCTTGGAGTTGCTAACTTATTTACTCACCGTCTTTGACAGAGACCACATACTGGCGAGCTTTAAACCTTTGCAGAAGGGCATAGGCGCGTGTATAACATCGAACAATAGCAGAATCATCAAATTGGTGCACAACTTGTTGACGAAGCTGTTCACTTTGTTCCCGATGGAGAGGACCAACACGAACCTGAGCTGCAAGTATGAGGAGCTAGATATTTTGTATTCTACGGTCGGGAAGGTGAGTAAAATGAACTTCAGTTGAGTCAATCTTTGAGAATAACGTTGAATCATATATTCCTTTGAAAGAACAGTGTCTTGAATGAAAATCGTGTTGGGTATGGTTACATATTAACACAGACTAATCATATCAAACGTAACTGATTGCGTCACAAAAGCAATTTACACATGAACAAAATTTGATAATTACGCACCCAACAATAAATACAAGCATCTTTTGAACGAGTCCAAACAAAATCTGCAATCTCAAACAGATCAGCAACTCTACACCACCATGTCATATCAAATCTGTTTATGAACAGATTCGAAATAGAGGCAAGCAGAGTTGACTTACTTCCCACAAATTTGCATCCAATATTCTGATGAAGTATTTGCTATGTAGTAGTTGATTTATGCCGATTGTAAATTCTCCCCCTCCTTTACATTCTCATACTTTTAATTGAAATCACATGACCTTGCGTCTAACATTCTTTATCGAAATAGTCACGAGGGAAATTGTCAAATATAACTGATGAATTAATAAGGAAACATGGATCTACTGTAAACTTTGGAAAAGAAGGTGATTTCAAAGATTATCGAATTAGGTTATCCTTTGGAAGTTCCTTGGTATTTATATATTGATAGAGTAGTAGAAGACTAAAAAGAAATAACCTTTCATTTCAAGATGGTGGTGTATATATATTCCTCCAATTATCACTTCACAATTTTTTATATTGCATATCCCGTTTTCCTTTAGGTTATCTTCGAAGGCTTGAGCAGCTACGAGAAGAAAGAGAACCCCTCGAGTCTATTCGGCACCGTGATGATCCTAAAAGCGGCCTGCGCCAACAACCACTCGTACATCGACCTGCTGATCACGCCGTTCATGCGCGTCCTGCACAGGCTCGCCAAAGAGCACCTGCAGCCCACATCGACGGACAATACGGCCCTCACCAGCGAGCTGCTCATCCTCAGCCTGGACCTGGTGAAGACCCGCGTCGTCGTCATGGGCGTTGAGATGCGCAAGACGTTTATTGGCGCTATCCTGGTGGGGCTCATCGAGAAGACGAAGGATATCAAGGTTATGAAGGCGATAACTAGGGTGAGTATGGATTTTTTATCATGAAAGAAAAGAGAAGAGCATAAAAATTTATTAGTGCTATACACTTTTATGTTCACATAAGTCAGAAAAGGCTTTTTAATGAACATAAACATGGTGACTACTTCTAAATACGTATAATTCAGAAACAATATTATTTGTAGAGAACTTTTAGTATTGTACCATGGTAGTTTCTATAACTTCTCGTTTCTATCAACCTGTGATATTGTAAAGTTAGATTATTTTTTGGTAGGTATTATGAGAATGAGTAGCAGATACAATAATATAACCGATAAACCGGTTTTAAAGTACTTGTCCAGACCATATTAAATTTAATTCTGCTCTTCATATATAGGAAGTTACTTGCGATAAATCTTCCAAATGAAAGAAGTTGCACAGGTGTCTGATGGTTTTACTTTGGACAGAGTGAACCGTCTATGTATCCCGAATGAACAAAATTATTACTTTAGCTTTCTGCGCGGTCTTAGCTGGGTTGGTTGTTGTTTTTCTGTCTGATATCTGTCACACATACTCACAAAATCGTGGGTTCACATGAGAGGCAAGGAGGGAGGTGTTTTTCACCTGAACTTGGACATGTTCCTCTCCGGAATATGTTTATTGTTCTGACTCCCAACCCAGAGTATGTGTTTGTGAAGTATATGATATATATGGAGTATATATGATACAGTTTAGTAAACATTGCTTTAATATCCTCTCTGTAAGTTAGATTGATCAAATATAGAATAGCTTGACTTCGAGTGCCAAAAATTCTTTCAATATGTGCCGAGTGACCCCACCAAAACATGCATATAGAACCAATGACTGGAATAGTGCATAGTGAGCCTCTAATAATAATACTTCAATACTAAAACTTTTGCACAAAATTTACTGAAAACACAACATTATTAAATGAATGAACAGATTTTTAGAAGCGAAGTAGCAATTAACTAAAAAAGAGCGCAAAGTTTCACGAACGGATCTTCCTGTGTCAAAGTAATTTTCGGGTTTATTTCAGATGTTGGAAGAGTGGATGAAGTGCAAGAACGTCGTGACTCTCAATCAAGCGCCGAGCTTGCGAGAAAAATCGATATTGTTAGTAAAAATGATGCAGTACGTCGAAAAACATTTCCAAGACGAAAACGACCTGAACGCTCAGTTCCTGGAGCTCGTCAGCTACGTATACACGTGAGTTTTACATTTTTGTTCGTTCACACACGTTGCATCTCGATCTTGCTCTGTTTCAGCGACGACCACTTGAAAACCACCGAACTCACTTCAAAATTGGAACCGGCTTTTCTGGCAGGCTTGCGATGTAGTCAGCCGCACATCAGGGCCAAGTTCTTCAAGGTGTTCGACGAATCTATGCGCAGGAGGCTGCATGATAGACTGCTTTACATTGTGTGTTCCCAGAATTGGGATGCCATCGGACCACACTACTGGATCAAACAGTGCATTGAGCTGTTATTGATTACAGCAACGACAGGTATATTATTTGGTGTATTCTTATTCATACCATCATATCACTTTTTTTTTTCTATTTCCAAAGTTGTCACTACCGAGTTAGAAAACAATCAGTTCAGGAGATAATAACTATTCAAAATATGAAAATATGTTTTTCTTGAAATTGTAGGTTCCTTATGTAACCTAAAGGAGTTGCGGAATTTTTTGAAAAAACATTTGGTCGGAGACAAAGTAGTTTTCAGATAGATACATCCAAAAAACAATTCCAACATAAATCATAATCACCATCAAAAATGTATAGAATACTTGTTTTTGCAGAATTCGCAAATAACAGTCTTGATATTTTGTTACTTATGATAAGATGATCATTCTGAAATTTCGTGTTACCATATCTACTGATTTATCAAAATTTTTACCATACCTTAGAGCGTTTCTCCAAATTCTCTAACCGCTTCTGAGTCTAATAGAAAATGTTGAAATATACTGAATTTTAAATCTCAACAGGTGAAAGAATCAGGATGTCCCATCAAAGCGGCATTCTCCCCAGCATCACCGCTTCTCTCAAGTCAGCGGACAAGCAGAAGAAAGAGGAATTCAGCCGCCACCAAGTCCAGAACCAGGACTTTTTCGATTCCTCGGAAATCAAGGAGGAGGTTCTTGACGTCGATCTTAGTAACATCGATGCAAACCCTCTGGTAGAGGAAAAGCCTGTTATTCGAGGTGAAACGATCAAAATGCTGAAAAAGGATTACGAAGCCACCGAAATCGCCCGATGCATTACTACGGATCGATTTCTGATAGCGGCTGCGCAGCTTTGTCACATGGACACTTCGCTCGCCGAACACGTCTGGTTGTCGATGTTTCCGAAGCTGTGGAATATTCTGGAAGAAGACCAAAGAATCGTAAGTAATGGATAATTAGCAATAACAGTTTAGAAGCGTTTAGAGTAAGAGTAGTTGATAAAAGCCGGTTCTGGTACCCCCCACTTCTACGACTTTATCATAGGTGGGTTTTGGAAGTTTCAAAAAAGAAATTTATTATTTTCAGACTTTGGCGCAAGAAATTCTACCTTTCATAACTTCAGGAACGCATATTATCCAAAAGGATTGCCACCCCAGCGCTGTTAACACGTTCGTCGAGGCATTGTGTCGTTGTACGCCTCCAGTACAGATAGCTCCGTAAGTCATATTTACCTTTTCGCAGCTAACCATAACTCTAATACCCCAACTTCCAGACCGCTAATGAAGTATATCGGAAAATCACACAACCTCTGGCATCGCATGGCATTGGGGCTCGAGCAGATGGCCTTCGAACAGAATTCGTCCTCCAGAACGGGTAACGCCACGGCGTGTTACGAATTTGAGGGTGAAACTTCCAAATCCGTACGAAATCAATTCATTAAAAATTGAAAAACCGTTGAAGTTGTGTTTTATTTCAGGAACTGCTTGATTCTTTGGGTGAGCTCTACTCCCTCCTTTGCGAAGAGGATTGCTGGGCGGGGCTTTGGCAACGCCACGCCCACTATAAGGAAACGAGCATCGCCATTGCGTTCGAGCAGCACGGATTCTTCGAGCAGGCTCAGGGAGCTTACGAAGCGGCCATGGCGAAGCACAAGGCCGATAATAATATGGGGCCCGTGCCGGCCCATACGCAGAGGGAAGTTTTGCTGTGGACGGATCATTGGATAAGGTCGGGAGTAACCATTTTTATATTTTGTAGCCTCTAGTAAAAAAGTTTTGATATTCTCAACAAAAATTATGATGTATCCTGGAATTTATTGTAGACTGTTACTAATATTTTTTGAATCGTTTAGATGTGCAAAAGAGATGAACCAGTGGGAGATCTTGTTGGAGTACGCCAAAAGCGCCGTGTACGATCCTTACTTGCTCCTTGAGAGCGCATGGAGGATTCCGAACTGGGACCTCATGAAGGAGGCTCTCCAAAACGTTGAATACAACTGCCCAAAAGAGCTCGGCTGGAAAATTACTATGTACGGTGGTTTTTTGCTGATCTGCCAACCAGACGAGAGCAAACCGCTCAAATTCGTAGAAAAATACGTCGAGAGCGCAAGCGCGCTGTGCTTAAACGAGTGGAGACGATTACCTCATATTGTGAGCCACATCCACTTACCATATCTACAGACAGCACAACAGGTAAGTTCATAATCTAACGTGTAGTTTGTCGTAACTTATAATGTCTTCAAGATTATGGAGCTGCAAGAAGCGTATCAGATCCATAAAGGGTTGAAGCAGGGCAATCAGAATTCCTTGCACGACATGAAGGCAATCGTCAAGACGTGGCGTAACAGGTTGCCAGTCATAGCTGATGACCTGGTGCACTGGAATGACATTTTCACTTGGCGACAGCATCATTATCAAGAAATCGTCAATCATTATGAAAGGAACAGAGATTCGGCCACTTCGAATTGCATGTTGGGCGTTCATGCCTCGGCTCAGGTAAGAGAAGAAGGGAAATTTATGAATTTACTCACAAAATTCTTGATTATTGAAAATTCCTTTTTTATTTAGTGGTTAAGCTATGTGGATTCTGCCTCAGCAGTGCAACGGTTAAAAACAGTATTCTGAAGTTATAGCAAACAAATTTGTTAAATACTTCTCTCAAAAACCAAAATTCTTTTTTTATTGAAGAAGCTTCTAGAGTTAAATTCTAAGATGTCATTAAATCTTTGAAATCTCATATATCACCAGTAATTCTAAGCATTGAAGAAAATTTCAATGAAGCGTCAGCTTAAAATATTATATTGATAATTTTTGCAGTCATAACTCAATTTAGGTAGTGTAAATGAAAATTATTTGAAAAATTAAGATACTCTTTAAGCCGACGCTGGTCTTTGATCGACTTCGACTTAGTTAAGATCGCACTCAGACCCAGTTGTGTCTCCTCTCAAAACTTCTAAAACGCCGTGTCTTTTCGATAGAATGTTCTTCCATCTTCCAGAGAGTTCCATTGGGTTATATAACCATTACCGCGACATAGAAGAATAATCTAGTTTGGAAAATACAGTGCGAATCGAACTGAAAAGGCAATATACATTTATGCATTGGTTTGAAATTTAGTTAGCGTTGTAGCCAATTATTGTCAAACCTACGGAGAAAATGTAACATTTGGTGTCGATGGTTAAAGCAGTGGTTTTCCACTCTTTATATGGCCGTAAACTCTTGCCTCTTCAACTTTAAAAGGCCAGAAAGAAAAACTAGCAAGGTGGAACGAAAAGTTACAAAATTACGATTGGAAAGAAAATAGTAGCCACTTGAACGCAGATAGTTTCTCAAGAAAATCACGCCGGAAATCCGTATGCAAATTGTGTCAACGCCAGAAGAACAAAAATACCCAGTTACCAGGAGAAAAACTTTCCTCCAATTATGACAGGGTAGCGGACAGACACTCATTTATGAACGGCTCTAAGAGGGAGACAAGCTCTCTTGCCTCCCGCTGCTTCGGGTTCCCTCTCACCCCGACGTTGGCCACCTGTAAGGGCCCCTTTTCCCGGGTACGGAAAGAAGCTCTGAGGGATCACCTGACTGTGGACGTAACAGCTCCTGAGGGAGACATTACCTTCATGACCAGGCAAGATATCACCGCAGCGCAAAAGCAGGAACTGGTGATGAAAACTACGAGAATAGATTGACAAAGGGGTGAGGCCAGAATGACAAGTGATTTACAAGCACAGTCAGCAGGTAAAGGGTTACTGCCTCCAATTGGACTCGAGATGACTTACTCGAAAATGGAAAAGCTTTTATGGAAGGAGTCATAAATTCCAGATAATCATCCCAAAAACGAAAGTTATCAAAAAGCTTTACGAAGGTTGCACTGGAGGACATTTCAAAGTAAACAGAACTCGTATCGAAAGTGCGTGAGATGTACTATTGGGTTATTTGTCACCGAGACGTGAATTAGTGATGCAAGCGCTGTGAGATGTGCTCTTTAAAACGAGATCCGAAGACAAGACTAAGGAGATAGTTGAAGCAGTACCTCAGTGGAACCACTTCCCGCGACCACATCGTTCGGTAGCAAGTACCTGATGGTTGTGATGGATTACTTCTCCAAATGGCTTGAAATCGTAGTCATATCCAATCAAGAAGATGAAACGGTGACAGAAGCTCTGCTGCAGATCATAATTGCCAGACACTTAGAACCCCAGGAGTTACCCTCGGATCAGGGCCGCAACTTCGAATCGGATTCATGGAAGGAAATTTATTGACTTTGTTTGGTATAAGGAAGACAAAAACAACTGCTCTTTACCCTCGGTCTGATGGAAATATTAAGAGGCATGAACCTCTCAATGTTTCTCTCCAAAAACCAAAGACACTGGGATAAATTGGTTCCTCTCTTCTGTTGGCATATCGGAGCTCCCAACATGACACGACAGGTTACACACCATCCATGTTGTTATCTGGTCGAGAATGGAAGCTTCTGATAGATATAATGTGTGGAGCAATTCCGAAAAATCTCAAGAGGTACCCCTTTACGAGTATGTGAATGACCTAAATGGTAGACTGGAAATGGTTCATAAACTTACTAGATCCAAATTATAACTTTCCAGCGACAGGATGAAGATATGATTAGACAAAAAGTCGGTGTCGGTGATCTCCAAGGAGGGCCATACAGTGTGGCTCTACCAACCCTAATGAGTGGAAGGATTTGCGTCCAAAATTTCAGTAACCAAGGCAAGGACCTCACTTGGTAATGGAAAAGATGAACAATCTGGTGTTCAGAATCCGGTTGTCACCGAGAAACAACTCTAAAATCGTCCTTGTAAGGGACTAGCCCTTACATGGGCCCTGATGTTTCTACTTGAAATGTTGTTCAAGGCGAACAATCTGAAGGAAGGGGGTAGTGTTGTGAAGTATCTCCTGAAAAAAAACGTCGGCGAACGCTAGTCTTCTTCGATCGACTGCGACTCAGTTGAGGTCACGCTCAACCCCACTTGTATCTCCTCTTCAATCTTCCAGAACGCCGTGTCTTTTCGAGAGTTATTCCACCAGCTTCCGAAGACTTTCATCATGTTATATAAGCATTAAAGCGACGTAGGGGGGACAGTCTAGTTTGGAAAGTGCAGTGCGAATGAAAAAATAAGGCGATGGACATTTGAGCATGAGTCTGAAGTTTAGTTAGAGCTTTGGTATTGTATTGTGTAGAAGTGCAATAAAATTGAGATTAATTGTACAGTGTGGTCAATTATTGTCGAACCTACGGGGAAAGATGTAACAGTATAATAACATTCATATATTATTTGTTGCCAGAGGTCAAAAATACTATTTTTTTTTGTACAAAAAAAAGGTTAAGATATGCAACACGACAAATTTTCTAAAATTTTGTTGATACAAACAAAATATGAAATAATGTTTAATTGTTATTAAAAAATGTTGAGTTTGTTCAGCCACAGATATTCTTATTTACAGAATAACTTTGAACATTTTTCACTGTAGAAAAGAGTTATTTGTCACCTAAAAAAATGGCAAAACATATTCATCGCAACTATCCTGGTTGAGTTGCTCATTGTGCTCATCAACTACGGTTGACTCTTCGAGGTGTCAATAATTGGCTTTCGAATCACCATTTTGGTCCTTCGAGATTGGATATAACCGCAGTTGGACGCAGTGAGCGACGAAATCGTCGCGTTAACATCCAGATAGTTGAGAAGATTAGAAAGTGATACCCACTGAAGAATACACCGAATACAGTTCTAATAACCACATAGCTTAAAAAACGGATCATTACACGAGACGATCACTTTAAAGAAGACCAACCACTTAAACTACGCTGCAGAAACCTCAACACAACTCAACATCAAAACACGAAGGTGAAACCGTAAGTAAACACCCACAATCCTTTTTCAATCCTCATCATTCCACACAATTTCATTAACCAGTACTCAGAAAGTCTCATGATTTGAAAATCCATATTACAATGTGATAAAATTTTGAATCTAAATCCATTTTTGGATTTAAAAAATTGATTGGAGTAGGAGGAAGAATGCAAAATAGTGTTGTGTTTAATAATTCTTTACATCGATGAACATTCCCGTACTAAAAAAAATACTGTGCACATATTCGAAATTTTCATTCAGGACCTTCAACAAATCTTTTAATGTAACACTCAAATATTGGCCTCATGGTGCTGCAAAGTAGGTTATTCGTGAATGTAAAACATGTCTCCTAGTCAACTACCTATAATAGGAATTCTATTCAAGTCCAGATTAATGTCAAACCGATCATTTTTATCGTTCCAATTAAGGATGGCTTTTAGAGTTGCAGAAATCTACTAAAGGCTAATACTTGAGTTTTTATTTGTTTAATCAGTAAGGCTTTTCATTTTGAACTCGCTAGAAATGCAAATACTGAAACATTTCCAAAAAAATTTGTATCAAAGCGTGAGTTGTGTAGTCGAATTCATTCGGACAATGGAGGTAGATAGATAGATATTTATTTAATCTCTTATGGTTGCTTTACAACATAAGATAAGTCACAGTAGATAAAGAGGGAAAAATTCTCATTATATAAACATTAAGAAAAAAAACATCACAAACATTCTAGTGGTTACAAATTGATTAAGAATAATAAAAATAAAGTAATTTTGTGCGAATAAAGAGATGAAGATGGTAAAATCATGTTCTGCAGTGTTCAAAAAATAACATAAATTTTAATTTTTCCCAGAAAATATTCATTTATTCATCAATTTCTATTTTGCCCCATTCAAAGTCGTTCCTCTCTTCGAACTTAGTGTCCTTTTTCTCACCAACAAACTAAACATGCTAAACAGTTGAAACTGTGAACATATGTTCGAGACGAGTAAGCAACGTAAAAAAAAAATGAAAAAAAAATTGCTAATCGAATGTTCGTAGCCCACAAAATTTGAACATTCAACTTAGTTTTCAACAGCCTGTGTATTTTGGAAAATTCAATAAATTGGCCTTTCACACTTGCATTAGCCCCTTATCTAGGGTTATAAATGCCCAGTTAACTTTTGAGAATCTGTCTACTGTAATTTGTCAGATCGAGGCTGTCCCAAATTCAAGATTACTTACCGCTTCATCTAATCATCCTCAAGACCTATCCTCCATAACTCCTACTCATTTCTTTGTGGGTGATTCTCTTATGCCTGTACCTCAAAGAGATATGATCAAAATTTCAATCAAATGGTTGTGGTTGTATGAACATTTACATGTAAGAACATTCACAACAAAGACAACATTTTTGGCACCCATGATCTTACTTTTTTTTAATTGAGAAACAAATTGAAGTGCCGTAAGTCCAATTCAATCGGAATAGGGTCTTTGTTGATTTCAAAAGAAGAATACCGCCCCTTTAGTAGAAACTTGGCGCCGAGTAACAACCCTGTATTCAGGGCGGGACAGTGTTCTAGAGTTCTAACTAAAACGGCGTTTTCAGAATCAGTGTAACGAAGTTGAATGACTTTTACAGACTGTATGAGTCAGATACTTCTATTTGTGAATAATTTCGTCATTGAAAGCTGATCTTTCAAAGCGGGAGGCATATATTTTATTGCATTTATAATAACATATACAACGAAACTATCCTGGGTGAGTTGCTCACCATTCCCATCAACTATTGTTGACTCTAAGAGGCTTTATTGGCTTTCAAATCAACGTTTTTTTTTTTTTTTGAAAGCAAGGTGTATGCCTTCATTAATTCATTACCTTACTATAAGATTATCTTCGTAAGAACTTTTCTGTTTATTCATGAGAAATATTTGTAACATTATGTATATTATATTATAAATAAAATTATCGTCATTACTATTATCATTATTGCGTTCCTCATATCCCCTTCCTTTTCTTTCAACAAATTATCGAGAACGCTTCCCTATAATTAGTAGTTAAGCTATGTGGCTTCTGACTCAATATCATCGCGATTTTCTTAACCACTCCCCCTTTTCAGTCCATCATCCATTTCGGAAAAATCGCCAGGAAGCACAAACTTACGAATGTCTGTATGGACGCGCTGAACCGGATTTACAGCATATCGAGCGTTCCGATCGTTGACTGTTTCCAGAAAGTGAGGCAGCAAATAAAGTGTTACCTGCAACTGGCCTCGATGAACAACAAAAACGAGTTGGCGGAAGGCTTGGAGGTCTTGAATTCGACGAAGATGCACTACTTCAACAACGAAATGACGGCCGAGTTTTACGCCCTCAAGGGGATGATGTATCATTTGAGCAGTGAGTGTAAAGATTTGAAGGCTTACAACCAAGTTTAACATGATTTAAAGTGTGATTTTGCTTTTCTAGACAAATCTGATGAGGCCAACAAAACCTTCTCTGCCGCCGTTCAGATGCACGATACCTCTACGAAAGCATGGGCTCTGTATGGAGAATACTTGGAGCAGGTCTTTACCAGGGACCAGCGGCAGATCAATCTCGGTGTGAACGCGATGGCGTGTTTCTTGCACGCTTGCCGACATCAGAACGAGGCAAAAGCTCGCAAGTATCTCGCCAAGGTGTTGTGGTTGCTGAGCTATGATGATGAGAATTCGAGGTCAGTATAAAAAAAAAATTCTGAGGTTAATGGTTATTTTTCTTCTAAATTTCCGGTTATATGCTACTGGAACCATTCGGTCTTGTCTATACCTCAGAATTGGGACGCTCTCCCACGATTTAATTTAAAATTATCTGATTTAGCGAAGAAATAAAGTAATACTCAACTTATATCGGAATGAATTGGCGTTATCTTCATACTCTGGCAAACAGGTATTGGTTGATTCGTCGCGCCTGTATGTAACACTGTGATGTATCATTCGATATTTATTTAACGTTATATTGCCTTTAGTGTTAAACGCATCCAACAAAAAGTACAATTTTTCTCGTATTTTTCACTCATCTCATTTAAAGACTCAGATTATGCAGTAATCTCATGAACCATAATATTGAATATTCATTACTACACTAAAGGTTCCAAACAGTGCATCATAAGTATAGTCGAAGTAACCGATATAGTAATCTTAAAGGTGTCGGCGAAGTCAAATGCCAAAAAAACCAATACAAAGGAATTATGCCGATGTGATATATTCCACGTGGACTGAAGAATTGGCGGTTCGTATTGGATAATTTTTACTAACCGAGTTTTATGATTGGCTGAAGAGTCATAAAATTAAATTTGAAGTATGTTTTGAACATGCGGTCTCAATAGTCTATGATTGCCAGATTCCACACATGTTTCTCAGTTTTAAATATATAATAACATTTATAAGATATATAACGTACAATATGCTAATGTCTGTGAAGATAAATGAGATACACATTTGGTATAAACAAGTGTTGGTTAGTTCTTGCACAATTCTTCTTATTGCTGGATTAGTAGAATGAAACAAAGTGTAGTAATTAACATAACAAAAAATAACAATATAACACAATACGATGTACTAGGAATTAATTTAATGAGTTTCACTAGGTAAGGTGCTGGCTCCTCCAGATTTATATAAAAATATTGAAATATCCACAACGCGCGTCGAAAGACGTTATTTTGTCAATCTAAAAGAAACTTCTATGTATGATGTACACATCTTTGCAGACAGTCTATTTTGAATTTGATTGCTTTCTTTTCTTTTCGGAATTTTGCCACATTTTTTGTGTGAAAATTGAGAAGCGGAAAGTCAAAAAACTTCTTTCTTAGAAAGAATCCATCCTAAAAAATTGCCCATTTTCAATTTATTCATTTGTCTTGTAACAATGTTCGAAAGATATGTCATTTCATATTCGTGTTTTCTTTCAGCTTGATGGAGGCCTTGGATAAGTACTCCGTAGGCGTCCCCCCGATCCTTTGGCTGCCCTGGACACCGCAGCTGCTGAATTGCCTGGTGCAGTACGAAGGAAACGTCATCCTAAACTTGCTATGTCAGGTGAGTATTGAACTCAATCATCGCAACACAGATTTACATTTTCCTGCCTCCAGGTGGGCCGAATGTTTCCCCAAGCCGTCTACTTTCCCATCAGGACCCTGTATCTTACTCTGCGCACTGCCACGGCCAGAAAAACCAATAGCGTCCAGGTAATCTTGCTCGCATCCGTAGCGATATCTCAAATCTAATAATCATCGAAGCTCATTTTGCAGCAGCAGTCTCAGGAGGCACAGACGAGCGACGGGGGCAGCGGGCACGCTTCCGCCTCCTCGGAGGCCGGTACTTCGACGAACGTCGCTGCCGCGGAGGCGTCATTTTGAATAAAATTTCGGAAGATCATTTATAAAAACCAAAAATAGAAGGGGTCCTTATAGCCGTTGTTTCAGATACTTTAATTGTTTTCAAGGCCTTTTGTTTGATATTGAGAAACAGTGTGTGCGAGTATTCAATAAGTGGACGACAGATTAGTTTATATATTCGGCTTGCTGTTGATATGTTTGCACCTGCTCCCGGATTTGTCAAACTTGTAAAATGTGCGGCTCTTGCAATCACTTTCTTTTTTTCGTTATTGACGTGGCTGTTGAAACTTAGTCTGGAATCAAGCGTAACACCTAGGTAATTAACTGTCGATTTTGCATGTAAGATATGTTGGAAAACGTTGATTGTTGGAGAAGTTACGGAATTCCGATGATTAAATATGATACGGAGACTTAGATGGGTTTGGCTGGAGCCTCAATTTATTGAACCAGTTATTTATTATTGTTGCAAGATGTTCCAAATTGTTAATAACTTTGTCTAGCATTTGATCGTGCGCAATTAGGGCGGTATCATCTCTATACTGGAGAATATATGCTTCATGCCTGAAGTGGTTGATATTCTCTTGTTGGTGATGATAAATATCAGAGCTGTATAAGTTATATAACAATGGTGATAGCGGTGAACCCTGTGGAGCTCCCTATTCTGAGATAAATTCGTCTGAAAAACTACTCAGTATTTCAACTCCTTAGTTTCCTGTCAATTAGCAGATTCCTAATTGTATGTACTAGATAATTAGGACAACCCAGTTGATGTAGTTTGAATAAAATACCCTTATGCCAGATCCTATTGAATGCTTTGTTCATATCCAGAAAAATCGCTGCCGTTTTGTTGTTGATTAACAATATTTCATGTTTTTTACTTCATTAAGTAAATGTAATCAATAAAAAATGTTAGTTTGTCAATTCAAACGATTTCGTATCCCCAATCATGACTATGGTACGCACATGATTTGAATAGCCCTGCATATACCTTGTTTTTCCAGATGGAATGGTTCCGAGAAAACTGGTACGAAGAAGTCCTCCGTCAGCTGCGCCAAGGCCTCACCAAGTGCTACGCCATAGCGTTCGAGAACCGCGAAGCGGTCAACGAGGCCAAGATCACGCCGCACATCCTCAACTTCGTCAAAAAACTAATGTCGACGTTCGGCATCGGTGTCGAGAATATCTCGAGCAGTGTCAATGTAACCTTCAACTCGGCCGCCTCGGAGAGTTTGGCCAGAAGGGCCGAAGCCACCTACCAGGACCCCGTCTTCAAGGCCATGAAGTCCGAGTTCACGAAAGATTTCGACTTTTCGCAGTCCAACTCGATGCGGCTGCACACGCTCATCTTCAAGCTGAAAAAGTGGATCAGGGTGCTTGACGAACGCTCCAAGATGTTACTGCAGTAAGTAGAGACTATAGTGTGAACGAAAATAGTCCCCCCCTTGATAACTTTTGATCGGGGCACGATATCAAAGTTGGGAGTGAAAAGGAATCATTTTCAGTAGTAAAAGAATTTTTATGTTGAACGATTTTATTGAAGAATGTACTAAAAACTAAAATATAATTCGGATGGTCCTACGTAGTAGTCATACCACTCTCCTCAGCAATCTACGTTATTGATCAGAGTAAATATATAAATACATGGTTTGTTAATAATTACTGTTTGAATGTATATTAATGGATCTTGCAAAGGTTTCAGATTCTCATTAATTTTCGCAGCCACAGAACAGAACAGTAAAAGTAATTAATAAGGAGGGATGTAGAGAGGTATCTGCAAATTTTTGGTTTATTATTCCTTCCTCTCAATTCATTGACAGTATTCCACGTTTTTTTTCACTTTATTGGCATTATTCAGCATTATTCATTTTGTCGTGATACATATCTTTTATTACTCCATCTTGATACAAAAAAAGATGAGGGAATCTTTCAAAGAAAGGAAGGAAGTAATCAATTTGAAAATAAATGACTATAGATGGATGTGTAGATCATGCAAAGAAGTGACTTTCAGACACAAACTGAAAGAAAGTCCTCCATAAACATTTGATTAAACATCATATAAGCAGATCAAGCTTATTCCGTGACTTTAAAAAATCGTAATTCATGAATGATTTGTGTGTATTTTCTATAATGTTATCCAATTTGGTACTGAAGAGCTTTAGGGCAAGTGTCTTACGGCAAAACATCGATGTATACCAGTGAGGATGACAGTGTTCCATGTAAGTGCAATTTGTTACCATTCATTCAAAGTAGAACTCATGTGAATGATATCTGACTTGTATTCCACAACGAATGTTTGAAATACAAACTTAGTAGAGAAAAGTATCTTCTGTTTAATTCAGTGTTCATATAGAAGTATTTGTTTTGAAAAAAAATTTTTTTTTCGTGTAATTCAATGTTTATATGAAAGTAGCTGTTTCGGGAGGACTTTCTTTCAATTTGTGTCTGAAAGTTACTTCTTTGCATGATATACACATCCATGTATAGAGTTACTTATTTTCAAATTAATTACTTCCTTCCTTTCTTTGGAAGATTCCCTCATCTTTTTTTGTATCAAGATCGAGTAGTAGAAAGCCAAAAACTTTCTTTCCCAAAAAGTAATCACTCCTAAAAATATAACCCCTTAAATTCATATCTTTTATCTTCCAGATTACTTCTCTGTGGATTTTTCTGTACTTATTGAAATATGTTTCAAAATCAATATTATTATTTTCGTACATAATGAAGAAATCTCATATTATTTGAAGAAATTCTAATTTTTATTTTCCTGGACGAAAATGCCGTTTCAATGAGATTTCAAAGCAACAAGAACTTCTTGAAACCAACTGTAGAAAAGTTTATTTTTCATACTGTTGAAAAGAGACATCCACAAGCATGTAATCCAATAATTCTTGTTCTTGCAGGTCTCTCCTAATTGAAGAAAAGTGCCGCTTCCTTTCGAACTTTACTCTGAAGACAGCTGAAGTGGAGCTGCCTGGAGAGTTTTTGCTCCCCAAGCACAACCACTACTTCGTCCGCATCACGAGGTTTATGCCTAGAGTAGACGTCGTGCAGAAACACAACGCAGCTGCCCGAAGATTGTACATCAGGGGACATAACGGCAAGATCTACCCTTATCTGGTAGTGAATGATTCTGGCTTGGCAGATGCCAGGAAGGAGGAAAGAGTGCTCCAGCTGATGCGGATGCTGAATCTGTATCTGGGGAAGCAAAAGGTAATTGTAGTAGTTGTTGCTGGTAATAATGATAACAATAGCAATTATTTCTCAACAGATTGTACAGTCCTCTTACAGAGTAATATCACAATAACATGAGCTGAAGAAAAAGAAAATAATGTCAAATAACTCTTAGGTTGTGTCAGAAGTTTTGTCCGTTTTTATGAGACTTTGAAGTGTAATTTGTCAGTGAAAGCATATTTAGTTTAATCGAAATAAGCGCAATTCAAATCAGTGCACATATTTGAAACATTGTTTTTTTGCAGGAAACAGCGAGAAGGTTCTTACACTACACTGTACCTCGAGTGGTTGCAGTTTCTCAACAAATCAGATTGGTCGAGGACAATCCCGCGTCGATATCTTATTTGGACATATTCAAAAAAGGATGTGCCAAACTAGGTGAATAAATCAATAAAATATCAATGAAAGTGACATATACTCGCGAATTCACAATATCAACATGTAGAGTGTAGATGATGTAACACTTTATTGTGGGATTTCCACTCCACAGTTCACAAAACCACAAACAACGGCAACACTTGTTTCGCTGTATAGCAGCTTCCTCAAGAGTTTTGCTACTAAATTAATTTCACTTGATACAAAATATGGTTTTACAACTACACAAAAGCAAAATTGGTCAAGAATGTATTTTTTATGATGGAGTTAATTTTTATAATAATATACCTAACAATTCAAGACACGACTGAAAGAATATAGTTTGAAATAGATTAAAAATTTTGTAGTGTTACATATTTTTATTTGTTGTATTATTCTCAGTATGTTCATTTTTCCAATCTCGTATATGTTACATTGTCCATATAAACATGTATTGTTTTTTAGGATTCATAAATATATTAATATTATATGGTCCTCAGCCTATTTGAAAATTGTTGAATTTGAAAATTGCCAAAGACAATTTTAACAATTTATTAAATGGACATGTAATTAACTAATATTCCACATTGAAAAAAACATCAGAGCTGAAGAATTCAATTCTATTTGATCACTCAATGAACTTTCAAAATTCCCAATTGATTTCTAAGCATTCCGAAAGACTGAGTTACAAACATTTCTCTCCGAAATGTAATACTTCATAGTCGTGGTTGAACTTATGCCCCTCTGTCAAAAGATTGTTTACGAATGTGGGATTGAACTTTACATTCAAGAAAGTACACTCCTATGTTCTTTTATTCTTTTGGAAAAAGTTCTCCCCGTTTGGCCAATGTGAAGTTTTAGGCAAGAACCACTAACCAACTTATGTTATCCTGATCTATCCAATACTGAAGTTTAGACTTGATTGTTTTTAATAAATTTTCTCCAATTATTATTTGTCCAGTAATCCAAATCTGTCCTTTTCAAAAAACTAGTGATGATGTTGGTGGGTTCACAAAAGTATGTGAATGTCCTAAGCTACAACCCAAATTGTTATTATATATAGCACAATTTAAGTGGAATTCAGTCAGCATGAAAATGTTCCAGAAAGCTATGGTACAGCAAAACACGTGTTGCGGTTAGGTGAACTGTCCAGTGAAAATATCACGTTAAAGTGATATTTGTTTAAGTTGTGGATTTTCATCAAGTATCTCAAGATACTCGAGAAAAGTACTTCGACCACGCTAGTGAAGATGACTGTTTCAGTTGAAACGTTTGAAAATTATAACCAAATAAGACCAAGGCAACCAACCAAAACATTGACGCCAGCTGTGAAGGCCTATATTTCATACATGTAGATTATGTTTCGGAGTCTGAAAAGTATGCCTTTTTTTCAGGCATAGAGCATGACGATCCCATTCAATATTACTACGAACGATTGGCCGAAGTGCAAAGCAGGGGCATCAAAGCTAGTCACCAGGTATCGCGGGACATCCTCAAAGGAGTACAGCAAAATTCATTTGTGCCCTGCGTGAAAAAAGTTATCCTACACACTGCGCCATTTTTCTTAGAAACTCGATTTCATCTTGATGTGCTTATCTTCACTGCAACAAATTTCATCACAAGTTCCACAATATGGACTTTTAACCTTAATATCAGTTATTCTAAAAACCAATTTTTCATTTGGATTTTACACAATACATTTTCCTTTATTCATATCATATGACATCAAGCCCAATACTTTGTAAATTGTATTCAATGAATCTTTCACTTGTTATTTTATCAATTCTTTGGATTGCGTGATAAATATTTTTCAGCGGTGAATTTCTTGATGTTAAAGTGATGTTGAAGTGGTAATGTAACCACTAAATTGAATCCAAGATATTCTGCACGATTAGAAATTGTAGAGATATCAGTCTTTTTCTCGACTCTTAATTGGAATGAAAAATTTGATGAATATTTGAAAAGATCATCAACTTTTTGTAGTATTTGATAATAATTATTTAATGGTATATTCTACCAGATGCACAGAATTTCATTGAAGGCGGGAATCAGTTTTTAACATAATCTATTGGCTGTGAGCTATGGAGGTTGCTCAGGAGTTGCTATGGAAACGTGTTATAACAGGTAGAGGAATTCTGGCTCGCCAAAACCAAAAAGGCTCGACAAGTGCGATCTGTTTAAAAATCTGCGTGAATCCGATAAAACGCGAAAATGCATCTGCTAACACTACATTGCTTGTTCGTGATTTTTTGCCAAATAATACTACAACGATGCCCCAGCCTCCATATCCACCAGGCATGGATCCATGTGACTTTTTCCTATTTCCAAAAATGAAGAGAACCTTAAAGGGCCGTCGTGTGAAATGGCATCGCTGAAAGTGCTGAAGGCTATCCCAAAAATCGACTTTCAAAAAAGTTTCTAGGATTGGATATCTAATGGGGACTATTTTGAAGGCGACAATAACAATGTAGACTAATAAATTTTTTTTCGATAAACAAAAATTCCTGTTATTTTTTGTTTCTATAAATCCAAACTGGCTTATTTAATTGAATTTTTAATTTAAATCCTACTGACTGCGCCAGATCTCACAAACTTATCTTGATATAATATTCTCACTGTTATACTATTTTTTAAGGTGAATTGGACACTACGAGAGCAGTTCCTTTTCGGTTGACTCCCAACATCATAGAATTTTTATCGACAATAGCTGTAAGTGGACCTTTGACAGCTTCAATGATCGCAGTATCGAGGTGTTTTGTTTACCCCAATTTTAAGGTGAATTTCTACCTTCATCAAGTACCGATTTTCTTCAATATCATACCTTTTAGGTTTTGTCAATTTTGAAGCCCATCATCAGAGACGAGATGATGTTATCCAGGGCTAAGAAGCCCGAAGACCTGACTGGAACTAATCAGGAAAAAATGTCAGATGCCGAACAGATTATAAATATGGTCAATAAGGCGGTGACTTCGATATCGAATAGGCTGCGCAGTTTAGCCGAGTTTGATGGAACTGATAGCAAAGTGAGTGTTCAAAATGAATTACACTTTTTAGCATTTTTCAATTGAGAACCAGCCAACAAATTCTCCGGATTTGTCACTATAGAATTTTCAGAAAATTTTGTTTTCTTCAGGTAGCAACGTTGGTATTGGCAGCAAATAACCCTGACAATCTCTGTAGAATGGACCCCGCTTGGCACCCATGGCTTTAGGAAGCTGTACAAGTTCGATGTTAATTAAGATTGAGTATATTGAATTTTCTGACGGATTTTCTTTTTTGTAGATATACTAAGTATTTTTTTATGATGGAAGGTGATAATTAAACAAACATTTTACAAATGTTATACAATAAATGAATTATTTTGTAGTTATGAATTCATTTAAAATTAGTTTTTCAATGCCGTGCCACCTATTGGAGAGTAGACCAACTGACATCAGTTATATTGTTTTTCGGATTTTCCAGATTTCTGTTCGTACACTTCTCATATACTCGGATGAATCATTTCACGAAAAAAATCAAACGCATAATCCACAGCATAATCTCATACAAAAAATCTTTAGACATTTGATTATAGATGAATTTGTTGGAGAACAGTAAAATATTTTTTAGGAGAGTGTTGATAAACAGATCTCTAGAGACAATCTTTCTGAGCAGTGTCTAGATATAAACGACTTTATTTATGGACTGGAAATTCTCATTTTCCACAATCTGAAAAAAATTGTAATTCATAATTTCTAGTTCACTACTTATATTCAAAGTATTTTTTACAGAAAAAAAAATGTGAGGGTTATCAATAATTTGTCCATTCTATAATTTTTCCAGATTTGTAAGGTAATAGTTCACATATACTTGATTTCCTCCACAAAAAAGATTTGTTGAATATAAACAACTTATTTGGGAACATTGTCTAGAGACTAACGAACCTCTTGGCAGATTCTCTTGATTTTGGGCAGATTGTCTAGAGACAAACAGCTATCTTGAGCATAGCACAATAATTGGTTTTATGGTCAGTGTCAATAGAGAAGCAGATCGTCTAGGGACGAAGAACATTCATGGGCAGATTATTTGTAGACAAACAACTTCTGTGAGCAGATCGTCTGGTGACACATTCTGAGCATATTGCCTACAGACAAACTACCTTTCTGAGCAGAGTCTAGAGATAAACAACTTTTCTGAATGTAGTCTAGAGACAAACAACATTACTCAATATTGTTTGTCTCTAGACTACTGAACAGTTGTTCGGTATGACAATGGAGAAAACTGAGAAGAATGTTTTATTTCATTTCTATATATTGACAAATTATTTGGACTTTGTGGATTCATTGTTCTTTGAGTTTAATGTTTGAATTTTCAAATAAAGTTTCTTGCCATTATTTTTTTTAGATAAATTAGTGCTGACCCCCTATATGTTTATGTTGTGATGCTAATAATGTCAAATTAGTTGAAGTCATGGTGGAATGTGCCTGAATAATAAAGCAATGACCTTATAATTCGATGAAGTTCGAATTAGCCCATCACTAATAATTTTCTAACCAAGAATTGAGTAGCTAGGAAGAATAAAGTCAATCAGCTGAGAACACACAGTACTAAACAGATTTGGGTTAAAAAATTTATTTTAACAATATACATAAAAATTAGACTATATATAACAATTATTTACACAATTAGGTCAATAATTAGCTAGTAAAATGGTAAAAGTATATAAATAAGTAGTAATTAATTTAGTTACCCCACAAATCACTTAAAATTACAGAATTGAACTATAAGTTGAAATTTCAAGACCCGCCCTTTCGAGGAAATTCTTCAATGTAAAGAAACTTCAAATATTTCCAATATGAGAAGCCTCACTATCATCTAAACATCTGCACACATCAAACTAGAAAAAACGAGTCCTTACGAACAGTTGGAATTTTCCTAGAACAATCTTCGAGTTTATCCGACGGTTTTCCCCTGAATTTAAATAAGTAATACAGTCTGGAATGTACATTTTTTCAAACAAAAGTGTGCCTTTTCAAACCACTAACACGCTTTATAAATGTGAAGAAGTTTTCTGGTGAGAAGCACTTTTTTACAGCATGTGACGCAAGAAGGGTCAAGTATTTAGGCAGTATACTCGTCTCTCTTCCAATAAATTAATTCAAAGTCCTATCGACTCTTCCAACTGTTAAATGAGTCCGAGGTGCCCCAACTGAAAAAAAATTGAATGAAATATAAATGTGAAAAAAATATATTGTGAAATATCCAGCGTGATACCAGCTAAGAAAGTAGTTAGAGATGAATATTTCGAGATTTCATTTCAATTTGCTTCATGCATAGTTTGGATTTTTATTTTTTGGAATGAATAGAGTATTTCTTCATCTTTATACAAAAAAATGTGCATATCTTTAACAAAAACACCCCTTTCAATTTATTACTATTATATTCATTATGTGACTTGGTATTTAACAAATCCAAAAAAATCACTCACCAACGTCTGTTTTTGTTGCTCCTTCTGCAGAACCGTCTCAGTCTGCTGTGCGTCAAACTTACAAACCGCAGCAATTACTCTGGCGAGGACCAAACTCTCCTTGCCCAACATGTAATTGTACAGCACGTTCCTCAAGTACTCGACCTCGGTACTCGACGAAAGGTCTGCGCAATGATGCAAAGTTACCAGAGTCTCGTCCAATTTCCTGTTCAGCTTTTCATTCTGATTCTTCATTTTCCGCAACTCGTTCTCGTAGAACTCGATCGAGCTCTTGTTGGTCAGGTCGAGCGATTTGTACTTGGTGAGTTTGTCTCTGAGAATTTCGATCTCATGGGCAGGGACTTCGTCGTGAATCGCGCGTTCCTTCTTGACGATCTCCAAGCGGTCCAGTCGCGAAGAATCGCTCTGGCAGTTGAGGGGGGACGTTTTCAGCTCCTGCACCTCGTCTTGGAGTAGCTGCTTCTCGTGCTGGAGTTCGCCGTACTGGCTTTCCAGTTCCGCTATCTGTGCCTGGGGAAAGTAAAAGGAATTAAAATGCTGCAGAGTAAAAAAATCTCAAAAGTTACCTCAAGTTTCTGCTTGATTTTTCCGAAGCTGTTGCACTTTTCTTCGAGCTTGCTGTATTCCGCCTTCAAGTTGCTGTTCTCCACGTACAACTCATTGCAGGTGCTCTTAATTTCGAAATAGTCCCTCTGGATTTTCGCCACGTCCGGACCGTTGGTATTCGCGGGCTTCTCCTTGCCCAACTGAACATTCTGCTGCTGCTGCTGCAGCATCTCGACCTGCTGCTTAGTTTCCACCAAACCACTGCTCAGGCTTTTTATTTCCTCCTCAAACTTGGCCCTCGCCGCATCAAATTCCCCCTTCTCGCTCTCCAGGTACTCTAGCTTGATCTTCAGCTCTTCATTCTCGTGCATCAGGTTCTGATTCTCCTCCACAACGTTCTGGTTGTCGGACGATATTTGCTGCAACCGCACGTTCAACTGCGATATCTCTTCACAACTCTTCGCAGCCCCGGCTTTCAGCACATCGTTTTCCAGTTCCAACTGACCGAGCTTTACGTTTGAACTACTCATCGAACCGAGCTGTGACTTCAAACTACCGTTTTCCTTGCCGAGATCGGTCAGGTTCATCCTCAGACTGTCGATTTCGGCTAAGAGACTATCTCGCTCCTCTTGCAGGATGTAGTTTTCCTGCTCCCTCACTTTCAGCTGGGTTGTTTTGTCCTTCAGATCACTTTCCACGCCTTTTAGTCTCTTTTCTAATGACTCCTTTTCCTGTTTATCTTGTGCGACATTCTCGCAACTCGCCATCAACTCTATCACCCTTTCCCGGAGTCCTTCTGCTTCTGCTGTTTTCTCTTGGTAGTTTTTCTTCTCCTCTGAGTACAGCTTTTCCAGCTCTATCAGTTTCTCGTTCAAGTCTTCTAACTCGGCTGTCTTCTCTTCTAGTTCCTTCTGAAGCTGCTCCGTCTTCAACTCGAGGTTGCTCTGCTGTTCCTTCTCCTTTTGGATGGCCTCTGAATTATCTGTCCTCATTTGCTCCAGGGCCGTATCTAGCTGCTGGGTTCGCAGGAGCAACCTGTTGAACTCCTCTGTTTGCTTTTCTATTACTTGACTCAGGTTTTCTATGTTCTTAGAAAGTTCCGATATCTGCTTGTCTCTTTCTTCCACATCTCGCTTCAGTCTGATGTTGTCGCTAGTGAGGCCGTTGATTTGGTCGAGGTCGGCTTTAGATTTTTCCTCAGACGCACGTAGGGTGAGATGTAAAGCTCGAGTTTCTTCCTCCATAGTGTTTATTCTTTCTAGAAGGCTGGCTATTTTTGAACCAGTTTCCTCGCTCTGCTGGTTGTGGTGCGATATTTCAGCGCAAAGTCGCTCCATATTCTTTTTGCCAGTTTCGACGAGTTCCTTCAATTTCGAGTTTTCCTCTTGGAGCTCGGAGACTCTATGGGAATTCCTGATGCTTTCCTCGCCGGTTTTCCTGAAAGCCAACCTTTCTAGTTCGAACGTTTCCAGAAGATTTTGATTCTCGTTTTCGAGCTTCTGCAACTTCAGTTCAAGAATGCCACACTCGCTTCGATCCAGCTCCAACGCCTCTTCTCTTTCTTCGAAGATTCTTACTCGCTCTTCGAGTTTAGCTATCCGTTTTTCTAAAACGAGTTTATCTTCTGCCAGATGCACGTTTTCTTTCTTTTCTTTTGATAGATTCATCTCTAGTTCCTCCAATTTCAGACGACTATTTAAGATGGTTTCTTCCAGCTGTGATATTAGAGCCTCCTTCTGTTGCAGTTCCTTGTGGTTTTCCAGAAGTTCTTCAAACATTTTCCTCTCCATTTCGAATTCCTTCAACATGGTATTCCTCTCTTCTTCTAATTTTTGAACCTTTAAGCATTGAAGGATATTAAAAAAAACAGAGAATCAAAAATGGTACCGAATATTAAAAAAAAATCAATTATAAATACAAAGGTTTCATAAATCAATTTTTTTTCTTTAGATAGAGCCACTTTCATATGGCCAACTTTCCACAATTGCCACTTTCCATGTCCATCTCAAAATGGACATCAAGAAGTTTCAGCAATTATAAAAATATTCTGTGAAATGTTGAAGAAAAATGAAAAATGCGAGTAGAGGGGTGTTGAGTAGTGGCAATTTGAAATTAAATATAAAATTGCAATCAGAGATTCTCAGACTATTTTCAAGGTGTGTTGGTTGATCGTTTACTGAACCAGCGGACTAAAATGTATACATTATATTGCGATTAATCCTCAGTGGCTGGTGTTGAACGAGTTGAGTGTCAAAGTTCTGCCTCACCCACCATACTTTCCAGACCTCTCGCCAACCGACTACCACCTTTTTAGGCACTTTGTTGACTTTATCAACGGTAGAATTTTCGCTTACCAGGACCAGGCAAAAACGGTCTTCGTCGACTTCATCAAATTCCGAAAACAGAATTTTCATGCTGCCGGAATTAATTGACTTGTGTTCAATTAATCAATCCATCAAATATACTTTATTGTCTGAAGAACTACATCTTGTAGACAAAGTCATAAATAATATGTAAGATACAAAAATCTACATAAAAAAAAATACACAATTTAAACAAAATACAATAAACATAAGCTAAAAATGTGAAATACACTGAGATATTCAGCTGGAAATAACAAGACATAGAAATAAAAGTTAAGATTCAAGTGAATCGTCAAGATACTCCTGAACTGAATAATAGGCCCTATCAACAAGTAGCATGTTAACTGCTTTTTTGAATTTGTTAAGCACTATAATTTCTTTAATTCGGGCTGGTAAGTGGTTAAACAGTTTGATCCCGTTGAATATAAATGAATCCCTAACAAGGGAGCTCGCAGGAATAGGCAGATCTATGTTATTATTGTGGCTACGAGTATTATATGAGGAAGTGGGAGATGCACAAGAATATTTTTTTTTATCAAGCAAATTGATTCCAAGATGAACAGGGCAGCTACTGTTAAAATACCGTGAGCTATGAAAAGAGGCTTGCATGGATCCCTGGGAGGTGCTTTGCACATATATCGGACAGCCCTTTTTTGGGGCACAAAAATCATTTGAAATAAATCTCTAGAGCAGACTCCCCAGAAGGCAATTCCATATTTAATATGGGGATCTATTAGAGCAAAATAAGCTGTTATTGAATGGGAGTAGCCTAGTTCTCTAGAAATCACTCTTAGTGCATAGCAACCTGAGGCAAGCTTCTTGCTTAAGTTTATTGTGTGATTTTTAAATTTCAGTTTATCATCAATGTTCAACCCTAGAAATTTATTATTATGTACCCTTAAGATTTTGTCACCAAGGCAGATCTCAGGTAAGTTGCAGTGGAAAGTAAGTATGCTAGTTTTATTGATATTAAATGATAACTTATTGCAGTCGCACTATTCTTTGATTTTGTTGATGTCAGCTGAGATGGCATCTTGAAGGGTAGGAATGTCCTTGTTGTGCCATAATAAAGTGGTGTCATCAGCAAAGAGAGTAATTGTGGCCGTTATATCTATAAAAGCTAAGTCATTTATGTAGATAAGAAACAAAATTGGGCCAAGGATCGATCCTTGTGGTACACCACATTTGATTGTTTGAGCTGAGGAACACACGGTTGTTTTAACTACCTGTTTGCGACCTGATAAGTACGAATGAAACCAGTGGAGAGTGTTGCCTCTGAAGCCATACTGTTGCAACTTATTAAGAAGGATCTCATGGTTGACACAGTCGAAAGCTTTCGATAGATCACAGAAAATAGCAGCGACTGCTTCTTTAGCGTTATATTCGGAGTATGTCGTTTCTAACAGAGAGAACATAGCATCATTAGTACACTTATTTGCTTGGAATCCAAATTGACGAGAAGTAAGGATGCTATTATCATTGCAAAAACATAAAATTCTGCTTTTCACTAGTTTTTCTATGAGTTTAGCAAGGGTAGGAATAAGTGCTATAGGCCGGAAGTTGGAAGTGTCATCATTGGGTCCACCCTTATTCAAAGGGATTATCAGAGATGTCTTCAGAAACGATGGGAACTCGTCAGATTAAAAAGACTGATTTATGGGTTGTGATAAAACCACTAAGGTTGAATAAGGTAGATTTTCAAAAATTTTAACAGAAATATCGTCTATACCTGTTACTTTGGCACCGATACAAATGACACTTATTTCGGTTACATTGAATAAGTAATAACGAAATATTACAGTTCAAAGTGGACTTATAAAACGGACATAACTTTTGAAACTACCTAATAGACAGCAAGGATGAAAAAGTCTACCTTGCTTTTCAATATATAAAATGAGCAAATGTAAAAGTAAACAGTTATGCTTCAAATAAATTTTCCGTACCTTGACTTCGAGAAGTTTGCTTTCTGTGCTTTCCATTTCTACAGTTTCCAGTTTTTCTTCCAGTAACCTTGTCTGCTCGGTTAAGACAGCATTTTGCTGGCGCAGCTGCAATACTTCTTTTGACAGTTCAACGTTTTCCTTATCCTTCGATTCCGACAACCTCCTAACGTCGTTCAGCTTGTGTTTCAAATCCTCTTCACCGACCTCCTCTCCCTCGAACTTCAAGTCTTTTCTGATCTCGTCCAAATCGTTTGCCAACGATTTACGCTCAGACTCGAACGATAACGACAGCCTTCTGTTATCCTCCTCAGCTTTCTGCAGCTTCAGTTCGAGGATGCCGCACTCGGTTCTGTCAAGATTAATAGCCTCGTCTTTCTCCTCGAATATTCTAACTTTCTCTTTCAGTTTCTCGACCTGACGTTCGTAGTTGAGTTTTTCGTCGTTGATTTTGACGCTCTTTTCGAGCTCTGATTCCAAGTTCGCCTTTAACCGCTCCAGTTCCTCTCGGCTGGCCTCGAGATCTTCCTTGAGTGTTTCGATCTCGAGCTCTCTCTTCTTCAGGTCCCGATGGTCGCCCAGAAGGTCATTGAACATTTTTCGCTCGGTTTCGAATTCGGACAACAGGGAGCTCTGCTCCTCTTCAAGTTGCTGCAATTTCAGTTCCAACAGCTTGCTTTCCGAAGAGTCCAAGTCGATGGCCTCATCTTTCACTTCAAGGATTCGCAGTTTTTCGTTGGTCCGACTCAGAGTTTGCTGGAGGTCGAAGTTTTGTTGGCACAGAACAATGTTTTCTCTTTCTTTCTGCTTGGTTTTTTCCTCAGATTCCTCCAGATCTTTTTGGAGGGTGCTGATGTGGGCTTCAAGGCGTGACGATTTTTCCTCATGAGCGTCCAGCGCCGTTTTCTCTTTTTCCAGAGATGAAATGGTGTTGTGAAGCTTCGTGCACTCCTCTATGAGCTCCAGGTGATTTTTCTCTAGGTTTTTGTAGTCCTCGATAATATTGCTCAGCTCAGATTTGACGGTGTGTAATTCCGCTGTGCTCTTCTTCAGCAAATCATCCTTCTCTAACAGCTGCAGCTGTATTTGTTTCACGCTGCTGTTTGTGGAAGAGAGTTCTTGAACTTTCACGGCGAATTCCTGTTTCAACTGTTCCTCTTTCGCCAAGTATTCGTTTTGAACTCTTTCCCTAATCTTAGGCTCGAGAGAGAGCAGTCCCTTCTTGGCGTCTTCTCGTAGACTCGTTATTTGGTTCTCAAACTCTTTCCTTTCCTTCGTCAACTTTTCTTCAGACAAACGCAGCTGAGTTATTTCTTTTTCTAATACTGCTTCGTTTTCCTTGAGGTCTTTAATTTCTAACTTGTATGCTTCAACTCTCAACAACTCGTTTTCGAGGTTGTTGGATTTTTGTGTCAAGTTCTCCACTTTTTCTATCAGTTTCTTGTTCTGGCTTTGCAGGTTCTCCAATTTAACATTGACATTGGTTTTTCTCTCAGTCTCAAACGTGTCCAAACTTTGCTTCAGAGATTCGTTTTCCTTCTTCAAAGTATCTATTGCCGCTTCTTTGCTAGACAACTCGTTGTGTAACTCCATCTTCGTTTCGGCTATCTTTAGATTATTTTCCTTCTCCCTTTCCAAAATCTGCGCTATCTCTTTCTCCAAGTTGGATATTCTCGACTTGTACTCCATTTCCTTGGTTTGGAATATTATGGTATTGGCTTTTGTTTCTTGAAGTTTGGCATTGAGGGCTTCTATTTCCTTTCTAGCATCATTGAGATACTTGTTTAAGTTTTCCATGTCTTCCTGGTTGTTAGTTTTTTGTGGATCAAAATCTATCAGAGAATTGTTGCCTGATTCGCGACCTAATAATTCAATTTTGGTTTCGAGGGCTTTGATTTTATAATTTTTCTCATCCAACTCGTCTCTCAAGGAACTCTCCAGATGTGCTTTGGCTTTCTGCTCTAAACTGCACTGCTCCTTCAATTCGCTTACTCTCCGTATAGCTTTGTCTTGGGTTTCCACCAGAACTGACTGAAAATAATGATAAATTCTTGGTAAATACATTAATTAAACTTTGAAAGGTTGGTAGGTGACAACCTTGACTTGGAGTTTTTCAAATTAACGTGTCGAAATGTATAGTGTTGATATGATAAATGATCTCATTATTAGTAAGACAGGTATGCCTCAATAAGCTAGCTTTTATATAAAAATATTGTGATACAGTCAAAGATATTCGCCAATATTTCTTACTCCTCACCTTCATTTTCGCATTTTCTCTCTCCAAGTCTTTATAATGTCTTGACAAATCCGTGAATCGTCCCCTGTACTTGTGGTAACGCATTTGGGACTTTTGAAAAGCGGAGTATATCTGCTCCTTACTCAGATGACCAATTGTAGAATTCGTTGAAACATTATCTTCTAACTCACTCGCAGAAACATCCAGATCAGACTAAAAATAATATCCGGGTTCAGATATAATGTTATTTATCCATAATACCGACTATACAATTATCACAATAAATTTTATTTATTATTTGTATCACTAAATGGTAGCTTTGTCAGTCGGACTGGTACATCAAACTATCCTACAATGTAGATAATTACAAAACTTTAATAGATAAAGGAATAATTCTGGTAAAACAAGTAGAGTTTTAAAAAAGGTACAATATCACTTCTAGGAAAACAATTGATTTATAAATATGTTAATAATCGAAATTTTTTGAAAACAATTTTAATAATGTTAAATGAATAATTCCATATTGGTTAAACGACTAACTAGAGAACTGATTTTCATCAAATAAATTGCTGTCAACAACGGTTACAAGGTTGATATTATAGACTCTATTCTTTCCAAAAAATTACAAAAACAAGCTCTGAACCAGGTCTATCCGGTTTCAAAGACTGATAGTGAATATTCTACGACTCTGACTTTCTATTGTGTTCGTACTAATGATATCACTCTTTTTTTTAACAAAGAATTGGACATACCCTACAGAACAACTTATAATTCGAGTCAATTCATTACTAGCTTCTTCACCCATTCTAGGTTAGGTAGGTGAAGATGAAACTTTAGTATCGGATAGATACTATTGTATTGGATTGTGACTGTAGAATTTTGAAAATAAAGCTTTTTCTATTCATCTTTTCAACAGCTTTCTTTTGGAATGCATTTTGTTTTTTGCTAACGATTCGACCTGGCAACATTTAGGGAAATTGTGGGTACTTTACTTGCAGGTGGTACATGCTGCCAGCCTCGTACCGTGGCAGGAAAGACACATCGCTGGCGACCGAAGAAGTGGAGTTCTTTCGATACCTCGTCTCTTGGGAGGGAGACACCAACGTAACGCTTGAAAAGCCGTGGTCGTTATTACTGGTACTAGTAGCTGAAGTGTTCGCATCTGGAATATCACAACTTGAATCGTTATATAAACCTCAGAGAAGTTTACTATTACCGTCTTCTCCTATAGAGAAGAAGCTATCCTCAGAACTCGTAGTCGGCTGCAATCTATCGCTAACCGACTGTGTAAACTCCGCGAATCGTTGTGGGGAAATCTTCACTTCCTCGGTGATTTTCTCTTTCAGTTTCTTGAACATGATTGCGGTAATACCTATGAATTTTTCAAAATAAACATTACACCTTTTTATAACCTAAAAATGACGTGACAAATTTGACAGTTCCGAAATATATGAAAAGGGCAAAGGGGAGATGGACTGATGGGAGGGTCCCTGCAATCGGCAAAGGTGCGACATCAACGTCAGCCAACCTTGTTCATTACTTGAGACCTAATTCTTGACATTGTTCTATGATGACAGCTAGTATGTCAGCTTTTCCAACCTTCTATCTACCAGGTTTTCAAAATGGAAACGCTTTGAAAAAAGTATAGTATAGTAATAAATAGAGAGACCTTCATCGTCTAGAAGCGACGTCTATCAGAAATATCAGAACTGAATTGAACGGTAAAATAAAAATGTATTATACCCAATGATACGTTTCTCATATCTATAATACTCGCAACAACAAACATCATTTCCAAAAATTCATAATCAAACATCCCAAAACACCAAAGAATGAACCTTCATTGAAAGAACTTTTTTCCCTATCTCTGAATAGTTAACGTTACGAGGCCAGAGACTAATGAAATAAAAAAGAAGAAGAAGCTGTCAACTTTGGTTTTTACATCCAATTACTGGTTTATATTAGTGTTGTAATAATTATCAAAGTGTAAATAAAAACTCAAAAACCAATTACTTAATGTTTTATTCAATTATAAATTACTCAATCACTTCCCAAGGCTTTTCCGGCCTCTCCAAATCCCAAGGCCTGCTAGGCTTGTATTGCGGGGGCTCCTTCAAACATATGCCACCCTCTTCGAGAGCTTTGAGGAAAAGAGCAACTTTTCCATCTGGAGTGGGAGGCTCTATGAAACAACTAAGTTCCGTCAATCCACTTTCGATACATCTTTGAGCTAAAACCTGCAGTCGGGAAATGAAAAAATGTCGAAAGTTTATATTGAGCAAGTTACCCTTCCGAGATTGATGTATGCTGCAGAATCTGCTGTTTTGTACAGCTGTTTCTTAAGGGCCCATTCGGAAGTGCTGGCTTGAATAACTTCTTCATTTTCAAAATGGTAGACTGATGCTGTCACATATTTTGACGAGGACTCCAGTTTCAATCTGAAATTTTATTTTTCAGCAGTTTTTAACTGTGAAAAAACTTAACTACTCACTTATGCCAGTAACGTTTACCAGGCGCTTCTACGTGATACCCATCAGGTTTATATCCTATTCTAAGCTTTTCCAAATTTCGAGGATTTCTGTTGGTGAAAATANGGGGACGAAATAGATATTAATGAAAGAGTAAATATTTTTTGAGAAGAATGGAAGTTCACCTTCTTTTTTAAGAGGCCTCGTACTTTGCGAAGGTATATGGTATACCAAGTCAAATTACGGTCTGTGTATCATAAAAACAGTACTATTGGTTACGCCACCGTATAGAAGTAAACACGGTTTGAGGCAAATGATGTGTCAACTGTCAACATATTTTAAAAATTTGCCTTTTCCTCACTCGTCTCCGGTTAGTTTTGGGAACCCCATGCAAAAACATGCAAACAACAGATTAGAAAGTAAAAGCATCTAAAGGTAGACATTCGAAAAAAAAGAGGTCAGATGTCAATCTTGCTGAGATGCCCATCAGTAAGTTGAGGAACGCTTCTTAAAAATGGGGGTGGATAGACGGGATGTTCTGCACACAGTAACCAAGTGGAGAAGATTTCTTCTCAGGGCACTCAACCCGGGAGGGGGCATGGGGGGGTCTTTTCCTTACTTATGCACGAAATTTCTATATTCTATTCACCCACCTAGGTTTCAACTACGCCGGCGCCATCTATGAATAAACCTCATCGCCATCCTACGTTGAAACTTTGGGAAGCCATATATATGCTGACATCTACCGAAATTATTATAAAGTTCCGTTGAATCATGTCAAGTTACAATGATTATTGAAAGATGGCTCACCTAAAAAAACATGATAATTTTAATTATGATATGTATTTGTTTTCATTTTGAATATTTCCATTAATTTATTTTGGTACAAAGTCCATCGAAGTACTTTGGGAGTTAATGAAAATGTCCCTTTTCAAGATATCAACCCCTGTGAACAAACTAGGTAAGTGATTTTTTTTGAAGAAACTGGATGACAAACCATAATTTCTCTTTTATTTCATTTGTTTTCAGCTGCCTGCTTCCTCAACAGGGGCATAGCCAGCTTGAGTGCCCTTTCAGAAACTCACCAAATGCTACAAAAGACTTGCAGGGACTTCGCTGAAGGAGAACTCAAACCAATTGCTGCTAAAGTTGATAGGGAACACTTGTATCCCAGAGAACAAATAAAAAAAATGGGGGAACTAGGCCTGATGGCTATCACGACACCTGAAGACTTGGGCGGTACCGGACTAGATTACTTGGCATATTCGATTGCGATGGAAGAAATCTCTAGAGGGTGAGATATCAACATCAGCACGAACTTCATACTGCTAATATAAATGCCTTTCAGAAAACATTTCGTATAGAATTCATTTCTCAATTTTTTGTTAGAAAATCACTATTTCCTAGGCTAATACTACGACGGCCAGTGAATTACACAAATGACTGATATTTGTGCAAAGTTCCTTCAAGAGGTCATCCTTGAGGTTTAAGGAAGTGATTTCAAGGCTTTTGATTGCATTGTCCTGTAAATGGGTAACTGTTGGACAATAAAGCTATTATTATTATTATTATCTCACAGCATTATTCTTGAAAAATTGACATTTTATGGTAAAGGAAGGGTGGTACTATCGCTTATCTAATCTTACTTGCTAGCTAGTATCAACAGCACAACTTCCAATGACCTAAGTCTGAGTCATAATTTTTAGAGCTGTTAGTAACAGTCGGCTAGTCTCATCAGATTTACTAGAGGTCAGAACTCGGACCAGCAAATTTTGAATTTCCATGATGTTAACTATACATTTTTCACAATAAATTTTATTGTAGACGCTTTTGACTACATGGTAGCTTTATATCAAACTATTCTACAATGTAATTTATCTAACACTAGGTAATTATAAAAATCAGATAACTCATTGATTCTGTCAAAACATATAAATGTTGAAAAATAAACAATACAATATTACATTTAGGAAAACAGATAAAATTTTTAAATATGTTAATTATTGACCTCTTATGAAAACAGGTTTAAACGACAAACACGAAGTTATTCTTTCTCCATTATTAAACTCGTTTTCATGAAAGGTTAGTGATTAATATATTCAGAAATTATACTTGTTTTGCTGCTCTAGGGCGTGCCTCGTCATTAACATCTTGTCGACTTTCCGTATCATTTGTAAACATTTTTCTGACTCAGAGTACAATCACCGTATGCCACTGTCAACATTTCAAGTGTTTTTGAGCACTCAATTCCATTCTTTACACAAAATATGATGCAAATTCTTTGATCCATCTTTATTAATTTTCAGTTATATTCATACATGTAAACTGCATAAGTTAATGGGCGAGATTCAGTTTGGGAATCGGCACCATAAGGTGCAGAGTGTCGTCATCTATTCTTCCACCTCACCTGATACAGATTACTAAATGTCAAGTCAGTACAAATAGAAAAAAACATTGATTACTTGAATGCACTTACGTTACAAGGAATATAAACATTGCTGTCACTAAATTAATAAATCTCAGATCAAATTGGAGATAAAGACTAGTCCAGATTTTTTTCAACATAGTCAATGCTAAGTTAATAATTCTCATATCGTACTGGAGGTGAAGAATGAGAACATTTTTTATTATCAGGAAAAATAGACAACAGAACTTAAAAATAAAAATATAAGTTAATATCTATCGAGAAATCTGATGATACGCGTCTGGAAAGTCGATAACGAAAGTTTTTTCACCTCTGGTTGTATTTTATTCATACATATGGCAATGTGAAAATGACCTGTAAAATTATGTGTGAATCACTGGAGGAGCAAGCAAACTTTTTTGTTGAATAGTTGGATTTGGTGATTTAAAACTGTAAAAGAAGCAAACAGAATGAAGGGACCTTCGATTGCTCATATTAAGCCAGTTGTTAGTTTTCAATGTGTATTAAATCCTTTCGTATTTTCTGATACCATAGATTAACCCCAAGCAACTATTTTGGACCTTTTGAATTCGTTTGATGTCAATGGAGTTCATACAAAGAATGTAAAGGACATCACAGTAATTCATCCTGGATAATACGAAAGAGTCACATAGTAAACTTTGAATTATTCTATTCAATAACCATCTATTTTGATAAATCAGTTGGAGATTACAGTGTGCTTTTTGTAAACTTGTACTAATATGATAAGAAAATCTCATATCTTGGTCAGTCCACAAACCCAGATTATAAACTTTATTAGAAAGTGTTAAAGGACCCCCTACAATCTGAATGCTACCTAATTTTTTTACAATTAATTCTTTTCTTGCATTTTTTTCACCAAAAACGAAGTATTTCCTGTGTGATTTTTCTCGAATAAATCAAGTATTTTGATTCCAGTTGTGCAAGTGCTGGTGTTATAATGTCTGTCAACAATTCTCTCTATCTGGGGCCCATTCTCCATTGGGGTACTTCGAAGCAAAAGGAAACATTTGTTACCCCTTTCACAACAGGTGAAAAGGTGGGATATCTTCGAAAGTTTTTTCCAATTGTTGTTATAATTTTTGCTGTTCTAGGTAGGTTGCTTTGCCTTATCAGAACCTGGAAATGGATCCGATGCCGGAGCTGCTTCCACAACAGCTAAGGAAGATGGATCTCATTTCGTACTGAACGGAACCAAGTGTTGGATTACCAACGGGTTCGAAAGTGAAGCGTCAGTGGTATTTGTGTCTACAGATAGGAATCTGAAAAACAAAGGTTGGTATTGAAAAAGTTACTTTTTTCGAAATTTGCAGGCAGGTGATTTATTTCATATTCACAATTATTTATTTTGACTAAAAATCCATTGAGAAAAAATTGTTATTAACCTAACGAATGAAAGTCGGCCTGATTTCGTTATCCGATCAAAGTCTAGCCACTCTTTCTTGACCTCAGAGAGTAATTGACTTCTGTACCGTCTTGTCAAAAAATATATTATAAACATAAACATAAAATTGAAATAAACACTCGAAACAGGAAATTCCCAAGACAAATGGCAAAATTAACTTTCTAATCAATGAGAATGTGTTTCTCAAAGTAGATAACAACATTATCATCAGGACAGTTGAACTGAGGAAAAGAATGCACCAATTCTAGATGAATATTTCATTTGAAACCTTTTTTATTCATAGGATATATAAAAATAGATAAAGTAACTAAATCTTGTTTGAATTAAAAGGGGAATATTTTAGGAGAGATTAATTTTTGGGAAAGAAGAGTTTTGGCTTTCTACTTCTACGTCTGTATCCAAAAAAAAATGTATGAATCTTCCAAAGAAAGGAAGAAAGCAATTAATAAAAACTATATTAAAGGTATGTTAGTAAATAATAACAGTGTGTTAGTGAATACTTACAGTATGTTGGAATGCTCTTGAGCTAATGACATAAGATACATGGCAATCAAAATACCTTTTTAAGAAACAATGACAGTCATACTGACAATACAACTTCAACGTGCCCTTCAAAAACCTGGAGAGCGACAGAAAATACATGAATACAATAAACCGTTTACGATCAAATCACGCTCTGCCCAGCTTACAAATTCAAGATTGGATCAACAGATACTCCTCTATGCTCATGTGGACGTTATGGCGATCTCAATCACATCATGTTGGAGTGTTCGCACCACATCCACTTTACTCTGAATTGAAATTTCATATCTTTTTTTAAATAAACTTAAATTGTATGTTAACTTTAAACAACAGAAATATATACAAATTATTATACAATCATCTAATAAGATGCAAAATTAAAGTATGAATGATTGATTGTAAATATGGTTATAGTACTACTAACAATATATTCAAATTTAAACAGAAATTGAATCAAGTTATGTACAAACGAAAAATCTATGTTTGAGCTACTACTCAATGTTACTTTCAAATAGTTTTTTATTAAAACAGTCTGGCTAATTGGTTCTCCCAAAGCTAAAACATTCAAACCACACTCACACACCAACAAAGCACCAAATACTTTTGGTTTGTCGAATCGCATTTTTCGATTTTGAGACAATGAAATGAAGTTTCATGTATTGTGTGTATACTTAGTTATCTATTCATTCAGGCATATCTACTATTATTGTACCCAAACCAATAGAAGGCCTGGAACTAGGAAAAAAAGAAGACAAGCTGGGCATAAGAGGATCCTCAACATGTAATTTGATATTCGATGGTTGCAGAGTGCCCAAGGAAAACATTTTGGGAGAGCCTGGATTTGGATTCAAGATCGCCATGATGACTCTCGATGCAGGTAAAATAGGTATAGCCAGCCAAGCTCTAGGCATTGCCCAGGCTTCTCTGGAAGTAGCTGCGGAGTATGCTTCCAAGCGTCTGGCATTCGGGAAGCCCCTCACCAAGCTGCAGACTATCCAGAACAAGTTGGCAGACATGGCTCGCCAACTGGAGTCTGCCAGGTTGCTGACATGGAGGGCGGCTTGGCTGAAGGACAACAAGAAACCGTACACCAAAGAAGCTGCGATTGCAAAGTTGGCTGCTAGCAAAGTCGCCACGTTCCTCAGTCATCAGTGTATACAGATTTTGGGCGGGATGGGGTATGTGTCTGATATGCCGGCTGAACGCCATTATAGAGATGCGAGGATTACTGAAATCTATGAAGGAACCTCTGAGATTCAGAGGCTGGTTATTGCAGGAAATTTGATTAAGGAACTGGGTATCAATTAATTATTTTCAAGGTGTTTCGGCTTGTTTTTGAGTAACCGTTTTTCCTGACAATTTTTATATTTACACTGTATTTCAGACTGACTTTTCAAAATTTNGGCATCCCGTGACGGCTCACAATTTTTATTATTATATCGACGTATAAATTCGGGTTTTTTATGGTGGAACTGCTCAGAATTATCAATTCGTTGTTGTTTTTGGTCGACTGTGAGGTCGCGCGGCACCCACTTTGAGTAGAGCTTTCGCATATCCAAATATTCATGCACGGTATGTCCTTCATTTTGCGGTCATCCAAAATTATTTCGTGAACTTTTTTGATGTTTTTGTCGGTAACAGCCTCTTTGAGGCATCCACTGCGTGCATCGCCTTCAGTACTCATTTCAACTCGTCCAAACTTAACAAACCACTTCTCAACGGTTGATTTTTCTGGTGCAAAGTTCGAATAATGTTTATCAAACCAAGCCTTGGTTTCAACAGTATTTTTTTCGCCATCTTATCTATTTTCTTCAAACCAAGCAAAGTTGCTTCGCCCAAATGTTCCATCCCACAAACTGATAATCCGGCAGCTGTAAAATTTGTACACGTCTTCTGAAGGTAAGGGTTAACTGAAAATCATGTGGATTCAATACTAATAGCGCCATTTGGTTGTTAGCCTACGAACTTTCTGAGCCCCCAACTTTATCCATTATTAGTATTAGCATTAGTTTATTTACGCAGATCGCCATGATGACTCTCGATGCAGGTAGAATAGGTATAGCCAGCCAAGCTCTAGGCATTGCCCAGGCTTCTCTTGAAGTAGCTGCGGAGTACGCTTCCAAACGTCTGGCCTTCGGAAAGCCCCTCACCAAGCTGCAGACGATCCAGAACAAGTTGGCAGACATGGCTCTCCAACTGGAATCTGCCAGGTTGCTGACCTGGAGGGCGGCTTGGCTGAAGGACAACAAGAAACCCTACACCAAAGAAGCTGCGATGGCAAAGTTGGCTGCTAGCGAAGCCGCCACGTTCCTCAGCCATCAGTGTATACAGATTTTGGGCGGGATGGGGTGAGATTGAGGTTGGGTGAAGGTTTTTTAAGTTATTATGTCGTTTGTATTCCTAGGTACGTGTCTGATATGCCGGCTGAGCGCCATTATAGAGATGCAAGGATTACTGAAATCTATGAAGGAACCTCTGAGATTCAGAGGCTGGTTATCGCAGGAAATTTGATTAAGGAAATGGGTATCAATTAATTATTTTCAAGGTGTTTCGGCTTGTTTTTGAGAAACCGTTTTTCCAGACAATTTTTATATTTACACTGTATTTCAGACTGACTGATTATTTTTATAGAAAAGTGTCTTATATTGTACTGTGAACTCAAATATATTACTTCTACAACTGTTACTTATTTTTAATGATTTTTCAATTATTCAACTGAAGAGTTTGTTATTCTTTTTCTCTTTGCCTTTAATTTTAGTTTTGCTTATTTCTACACGACTAATAATTATTGTGTTGCAATAAATTCGAAGTAAACAACACATAAAAGGTTTAAAAAAATGTTGATTACCAAAGACCAAGAGAATAACGCTTCATTCAGCTTCCTACAAGACTTGTTTTTTCTTGATATGATTTGGTAAAACCCAATATTGCATTCAGATAAGACAAATAGTCAATATCTTCAGGAAAATCCCATAAAAATCTTGATGGAGAATGTTCGGATACATTAATTATATGTACTCGTAGGTTTGAGACAAGTGTTCAAAAATTAAATACAATCGCTAATCGAATATATGTAGCCCGCGAAATTTGAACATTCAACGTATTTTCTTAACAGACTTCGTATTGAACAAAACTTTGTGATATTTTCGCATACCACGTTACAAAATTACCATAGTGTTTCAGTATACACCGTCTCCTTCAAGCGGGCCTTACAAATAATAAACTAAACTTCATTCGTTAATGTAAGAACATGTTGGTTACCCTGTTTAAGAAAAACATCACATTTAAAGGTGAGTTAGCTAGATATTTAAATATTTTTTCTATGATGCTGCTACTAAGCATGCTTCCTCAATTATTTCAACCAAACAAATCATGAAATATGCTATATTCCCTGAAGATTATCACATCTTATAGACGAATCTTGTAATCATTATCGGTTAATAGATAAAAATTTTTTAAAGCAAAAATATTTATATCTCGAATAATTTTGAAAAAAACTTATCTTATAACAAGATGAATGATTTAATGAATGATAAGATAATACTCCTTATTGTCCGTATGACCATGTGACAAGAACTCCGAATGCACTACGCCACGGTATCGAAGGAAACTTGCTGCCACACGCTTCATGCCCAAAATTTTCAAAAAAAAATGCATGCCATGTAGCCAACCGGTGTGCCAGCATCCTTATCAACTCCTCTTATAGTGATATGACGATTCCCTTCACAATTTTCGTCACTTTCTCCACGTTGTCATCAGTACCACTTGTGAACATTTTTCTAACTCGGAGTACAATCACCGTATGCCACTGTCAACATTTTCGAGTGTTTTTGAGCACTCAATTCTATTTTTTACTCGAAATTTGATGCACATTATTTGATCAATTTTTTTCACTAGCAGAAAATCGCAAAACACTTCTAACTTTTGTGTCTCTCACCAACAAATTAAACATGCTAAACAGCTGAAACTGTGAACAAATGTTCTGGACGAGTGTACCAACATAAAAAAAATGAAAAATCGCTAATCGAACGTATACGTATGCTGCGAAATTTGAACATTCACGTTATTTTTTGAACAGTCTACGTATACTTCATTGCACAAAAAAAATATTTATTGGCAAAGAATAAAAAAGTATATCTATTAGGATATTGATGATTTTTGATACTATTCAGCCATTTATGAAAATGCAAAAAATATACGTTATTTTGTTCTTTGATTTTCAAGATAGAAAACATTATCCCCTTTTCTTCAACTGATTTATAATGCATCATACTTTATATTCTATATTCACAACAGAAAAATAAGTATCAAACATTTTCAATTTTTTCTTTGAAAATATGTAAAAGAGGCAAAAGGTACTGCTGATGATATTGATATTGTCGTTTTCAATGGCAAATAAACCTCCAGAAATTTATCTAATTTCAAATATTTTCTCAATCGTCAAAGTAAGTCAATGAACTGACTATGTTCTTTAATTTTTTGGCAAGAGTATCTCCCTGTTTGGCCAATATAAAGTTTTGGACAAGAACCACGAGTTAACTACCAATATACGCCCGATCTATCGGACACTAATTGTTTCATAATTTTTTTCAATAATTTTGCATTATTATTTCTGTTAGCCACGTTCGAATCTTCTTTCAAAAAAATAGCAATGTTATTGATGGCTTCACCAAAGTCTTGTGAGGCTTATCATCGTTTCTTAAAGTGGATAGACATGCTAAATGGCTTGTTTCAATTTTTTTTTCAAGAATAAAGTCGATAATATATCGGCTTTGTAACCGTTGTTGACAGCAATTTGTTTGATAAAACTCAGTTTTCCCTGAAAATTATTTTCTGATAATGGATATTCAATATTCTGTGAAGCATATACTATTGAATGCTGCCACTTTATGCAGATTGGGAGATGTGTCGAGGAATTATGTATAATAATGTCAGAATTTCAGAGGGATTGTTATCTTTTATTCACATACAAGGAATTTCAACTAAAAATATCCTGCAACACTAACCCAGTATTAGAAATGGCAAACTTTGTCTTCCTAATTGTATATTTCTTGTGTTGTTTATTCAACGACATATGCCTCCTTTTTATCCTTGATAGAGCTTATCTGGTATCCCAAAATGATTTTACAATGATGTAGTCTCGGATAAAAAAACAAACATAAACAAAACTACTTACTTGTTATCAAGTTATCATAAGTACGAGTATATTTTTTTTCAAGTCTTAAATTGCAGAGTTATTGATTGATTGATTGATTGATTGATATAACGTATTTTAACTTCAAATTGAAATACGTGATACAAAATACCTATATAATCGTGTTTATTAACAACAACTACTGTTTTTACAAAATTCATGTGATTCAGACAATCTGTATACATATTAACATCACTATAAATAACAATTAGCGTCATATCAGAACCGTGCTAAACTTCAACATCAAGAAATAACATGAAACCTTCGAAATAGTCTATGTAAATATGTCGAAACATTTTATCAATTCTAGGCTTTACATATTGATATGCTTTCTGTAACGCTTGTTGCAAATATACTAGGTACTCTCTATTTTCTCATCGACTTCTTCAGCCTCATGTAATCTGAACAAAGGCATAGCCAGCTTGAGTGCTCTACCAGAGACCCACCGAATGCTCCAGAAGACATGCAGGGACTTTGCTGAGGGGGAACTCAAACCAATAGCGGCAAAAATAGACAGGGAGCAACTGTATCCAAAAGAACAAATAAAGAAAATGGGCGACCTTGGTCTCATGGCTGTTAGCATTCCCCAAGAATATGGAGGCGCAGGGTTAGATTACTTGGCGTACACCATTGCCATGGAGGAAATTTCAAGAGGGTAAATTCAAATCAAATGTCTTGCATTGAAGTAATGATAATTTCGTTTTTGAGTTGATTATGTCTGTCACTTTCAGATGTGCAAGTGCAGGTGTTATAATGACCTTGAATAACTCGTTGTTCCTTGGACCGCTTCTTCACTTTGGCACCCCAGAACAAAAGGAAAAATTCATCAGGCCATTCTCGAAAATGTTGGTGCCAAATGGTGCCACACGACTAATTGTAGGTTAAATGTTAGTGACGTCACGATCATCGTTTTTACTCGACTTTGAAAAAACTACTGAAAAAAAAATTAAAAATATCGAATGAGGTGATCCCAATTTCAGTAGTGTAAAGGTCCATTATGATGTATTATAATTTGTTGGAAAATCACAATCTTTATGAATAAAAAGGAAGTGGCATAAGTGAGTAAGCAAAAGAAGATTTCACTTTATGAGGTTTTATTGCTATAAGTGACATAACTGTTACGTTCAGGCTTAATTTAGTATTTACAGTGATGATTTTTTTTTCTTAGGACACCTCTGAAAGGTCTATGTTGATGATTTTTCAACTGAATTACCCCATTTAACTGATTTTAATCAAATTGAAATTGCTTTTACTAACCTTATATTTCTTTCAGGATCAAACCCAGACCAGCTAGGAAATATTTCAGCCAACACAAACGTTCGCTGAGAAGTTCCATCACCCCTGGAACTGTGCTGATATTGCTGGCTGGCTCTCACAAAGGAAAAAGGGTTGTTTTCCTTAAACAACTCTATTCAGGCCTCCTTCTGGTCACCGGTAATGTTGCATAGTTATGACATACGCTGACTTTTTCCATTAAAATGTTTGTTTTTAGGTCCTTTCACGATCAACGCTTGCCCCTTGAGACGCATCAGTCAGCGTTATGTTATCGCTACTCAAACTAAAGTAGATGTGAGCAAAGTTGAGATTCCAGCTAAAATCAATGATGAATATTTCGCTAGAAAGAGGGAAAAGAGGGCTAAGAAGGAAGAAGGTGATATCTTCCAAACCAAAAAAGAGGTAAGTTGTTTTGGTCACTTTTTGTGAGCGAGCTCATTATTCGTTGAGTGTTTTCAATTTGGGTCTTGAATATCTATAAAATTACATGTGCCCATTCATGGCTTAAAACAAATCGATCAATATTTATTTAAATTTTTTGAAATGGCTTCTATGTATTGAAATTGTCAGTTAGTAACACTGTAATTTACATCGCACTATGAATTTTTAATAAATCACATATGCTATATAAACGTTTTTCTATTATTCTATTCAAATTCGGTTACTTTTTCATTCAACAATTAATTTTTAGGGTTACAAAGTGAGTGACGAGAGGAAACAGGACCAAGAGCAATTAGACAAACAAATCTTGGAGGCCATCCGGGGACACCCCGACAGGAAAGTGCTGAAGGCCTACTTGTCTGCCATGTGGGGCCTCAGGTCGTCGCAGTACCCTCACCGACTAAAATTCTAGATAAGACTACAGTTCCATAATTTATTTATGTATTCTATTGGTGAATAAATTGTGGCTTTCTATAGTTTTTTATTAATGTATTTGATTGTGTAAATACAGACGTTCTTTCAGGGTATTGTTTTATTGGATACCAGAGATTTGTGAATAAATATAAATGTTAGTCATATTGTTAAATTAATTGATCATATTTCTGAAACAGACTTAAACTTGTTGAAATAGAAACTATTTGATCTGAATTCATTATGCATTGATTGGTATTTGCACACTTTAATTAATGAATTTATCTAGTTTATAATTTTGAATGAATTACTCAGACATTTTTGGGAATCTTCCAAAATAGGAAGAAAGCAATTAATCTCAAAATGAACGCTTCACAATGATGTGCAGATCATCCAAAGAAGTAACTTTCAGATACAAAAGCACTCTCGAAACTACTTTCATATAAAAGGAAAAAATACTTTTGAAACCACTATTATATGAACATTGAATTAAACATGAAACGCTTTCTTATTCAGTTTTTAGTCCAAACATTCGTTATGAAATTGACAGATATCTTTCACAAATTTACGATACTAAATCAGGAAACACGTCGTGCCATTATCTATTCCAACAAATTAAATTAAATAAACTTTTTTCACTGAGGATTTGGCCCCTTGCAACTTTATCATGTTAGAGTACCTTCATTTTTTGACTACTCTGTTTTATACAAATGTGTATGTATGATGCCTTGTATGTTTGATTGATGAATACATTCTATCGTTATTGTTATACTACAAAAGATTCTCTACAACAGAAAGATTCAGAGGCAAATTCAATGTTGCCAACAAATTATGCAGCAGACAATGTGGCTCCTTGTCATTACTATCTATATGCACTTTCAAATAACAGTGGGCATTACACAGCATACTGCAGATACAAATAGAACAACCCACACGTTACCAAAATGGCCTCTGAGTGGAGAGACGTACTTTGTCTTCAATAAAATGAGGAAAACGAGTTTGCACCTTCAAGGATGTTTCTTTCAACATTTCAATGTATTATTATCGACCTGTTAATTATTAGATAAAAATGCATAAAATAGACATCAATGCCCACATTTTTTGTAAAAAGATGAAGAAATGGAAAGCCTTTCTTTCCCAAGCATAAAAAATGTTGTGTGTGAGAAAATTGTTTCGCTGAATATTTGTGTAGAACTTAGTTTTTATTATTGATATCAATCACTACACAGTAATATTATTTCCTAACTTCTACCTGGTTATTGTTCAAAAGTATTTCTAATAAAAATCTTCCAAGTTTTCAACATGTATTGAAAGATATTGCATGCATAAATTTGAAAAGATTTCAAAATATTGCACAATTCTGTTCTCACATCGTGCAAACAGTTCACCGAGAGTTGATAATTGAAAATAATATATCAATTGAATCCTCAATACAGTTATTTATTAGAAAACATATTTGAAGTTACATTATATTTAAAAGACTCAGTGCTGTTTACGTCTGAAACTGCAACCTTCGGTGAGTCTCGCTTTGCCTCCGGTAGATGTGCAGAGGATCGTTGAACATCCTTTGCAGGGTACTGCGGACTGGGCGTGCGAGAAAATTGTCGAAATGGCGTAACAACCAGGGCATTTTACATCCATGAAGTAACTGTTGGGGTGCTGGACCAACCTGCAGACAAATGGAAATTATAAGATCTTCAAAATGCTCATAAGTCATTCACACTCAAATTCTTGGTTCCAACAATCTACTGACCTTTTGAGTTTGTGAGATTTTCTCTGCTGTTCGGCAGAAGGATGCAATAAGTCGACTGCTAAAGGCATCTGCAACACGAAATAAAAACGATATATTAATATTTTTTTGCACTCTGTCGAAAACACTGGTTGTCGAGAGGTGATAAATTGAAAACACTCACTTTTTATTTATGTATTTCAACTATAAAACCACTAGAGAAGTTTCAATCGCACGTGGTACTTTCGGCTATCAACCATGTAAAAGAAATTGACAGTCGACAAGCAGGTTGACAAAGATTTTAGTATTACAAGCCGCCAACTGCAAAATATTTTAGGGAACGTTCGGTTATTTCACTCCATTAATACTTACTTTTCTCGTTCGATTATTAAAAATGATGCATCATTGTCGCAAGATGATGAAGTGTACCTCAGGAAAAACAAACAATTATCAAAGTGTCCTTTTTTTATTGACATTTTTGTGAAATATTAAATTCAATAATTCACTGATAATCCATTGGTTTTCATAAATGAATCATGTATTATTAGTTATACTGAGAATCGATAAAACAACCAAAACATTCATGTATGTTCATGGTAACCAGAGATGATTTTACTCAAGCGGATTCGTTTCAAAGGCAAGATATTTGTAACGTGTATTAAAAAAACGCAAAATTGTACGGTAACGGAAACAAAAAAATAAATGGAACAAACATGGCGACGCGACAATACAGAAGGGAACTAAATTGTATTTTCGGCAATAATTGTCAGATTTCCGCGTGCATCACATCAAATGCAGAAGGGGAATGAATGCAGAATTTATTGGCAAAGGAAAAAGTACATAGAGTGTTTCAATGAAATTTTATTGATGTTCAAACATGACAGTTCGACGGAATCTAGTTTTTCAACGTTACCCAATGAGGAACGTATATAGTGTCACAAAATAATTGTTCGAAAAAAATGGCTCTTGAATATCAAGTCGCTTTTGCGCATTCAGTCACCATAGTAACGTTATACTACTAGAGTTATTGTATTTCAAAAAATTACTAAGCATCCACCGAAGTGTTCTACTTTACAACTGCACACACACTATTTATCCATATCATTCGTTGGAAATGCCAGGCAGAGAGCAATTACTCTTCTATTTGTCAAGTCCTGTATGTTCATACAATATTTAAGTATTGACTCTAAATGATGGGTGCGTTCCACTAAGCGCTCACTACCGCAGTTATTCCGTTCCACTTGCTTGAGAGCGTTAATTCGTGATGTCGAATGAATTATATGGAGCGTTTTGGGCGTTCGGTAAATATTACAAATGGCGAGGTTGAAAAAATGAAGTACAAGTTCTTATGAGGTTACGTAAGCCTCAACAATAAGTTCCAATAATTGCAAGATACCTTCATTTATGAAAAAAATATATATCACTCAATTTTTTATATATAATTTCAGTGAAGTTGTTGAACTAATTGAGTTTGAATGTAATCAAAATGTCTTTTACGGTAATTGGAGATTTGTTGATGCGTCGCAATAGTGCTCTAGAAACTATAGTTTATCTAGTTCTGATGGAGAGTGGAATGCAACTCCCCAAAATTATAATCGGGAAAACTGAAAACTTGGGCCACGTATTATTTATTATGAGAATGTATTTCATCGTTATTCAAATGAAGAATTCATAAGTCATTTTA